TATAATCAAGAGTTATTAATCTTTCCTTTGTAATTCGAATAAAGAATATCTTAATAAGTATTTAATTTTTTACATATTTACTTAATAATTTTAATTTTGAGTTTCCCTGATGTAAACATATAGTAATATTACTAAATAACTAAAATTTTTCTCTTTATTATATTTAGTCCAAAGTGATTATTTCTCATATTACTATAAAAATATGTTAAGAATTAATCTTAAATTAAAGGTAATAAATTATTTAATTTAAAAAACATTATTTTTATTTTACTTGAATTAAATTACTTTATACTCCATAAAAATAACTTATGTGTATATCATATTATTTATGTTATTTTTATTTATTTATTTAGATAATTTATTATTTAAAATAAATGAATAAAAAATATTTAAATATATGTAAAAAACATAATTTTTTATAAACAATTTTTTTTAAAAAATGTTAAATAAAGAATTAAAAAAAGCATAGGCCTTTATTTATTAGCATTTAATTTATTGCTTAGATATATTTTAAAGATATTTCGCCTCTTATTTATTGTTAATAAAAATTGTTACTAATATCATCTTTGGTGTATTTTAATTTACATAAAATAGCACTTTTGTATATATTTTATGTAATAATTTAGATTCAGATTATTATTGAGGTATTAAAAAGATTAAATTAGATATTTTTTTAGATTGAAAACATTAACAATGTAAATAATTTAAAAAACTTAATTTTTTGTTTGTCTTTAAAAATTAAAATTATTCTATAGAGAAAAATAGCAATCAAGAATACCAAATTTTAGTGTAAATTTAATTAGTATAAATTTTAAAGTAAACAGTAACTATGATGAGTCTACATCGCTTGATATATTAAATAATGTAGAATAAGAGGTGGTAGGGTTTATAAATTAACTGTAATCTGAAACCTAATTATTTAGTTATTGTTTATTCAAATTTGTAATAGAAAAGAATTTTTAAATTGGATTGGATTTAAACATATTTTTTGATGTTTTTAATACTTAAATAGATACTTTATAAAAGCACTAAACTCCATATTGTAGGTCATTTTAATTCGCTTCTTCATGAGGTACTTTTAAAATTGATCTACAAATTTACTGGTCAAAATTTTAATCAGTGAAAAATTTAATTATAAATATTAAAAAAGCGATTGATCTTTCTATTAATATGTATTTTTTTGCATTTACTCACATGTATCTTTATATTATTTATAAAAATGGGGGCATTACGATTGCATTATCAAAATTTAGAAAGAGTTTTTTATCAAAAATAATAAATAATCATTCTATTATGTGTATTTTATTTAAATTAAATTTCTTTTTTTACTATGATTTTTATTAAAAAACCAAAGCATACTTTTGTTAATTTTTACTTTTTTTAATTAAATCATCTACCCAACTTTTACAATATATAAAAAGCAAATTCTTAGAAGATTACCTTATGAAAACGATGTTTATTTATTTAGAAGACTTAATTAAATTTTATACAAAGTATCAAAGGATAAAAAAAATAATTCAGCAAGTGTTACTTTGATTTTATCATTAATTATTTATGCATAATCTCAGTACTGCATTATATTTTCTATTTTTTTTTAAAAAAATTTATGGAAGTGTCCCAAGAAATGCGTTTTAGACAATGGACGGAATAGGAATCAATGTTAGTAAAAAAATACAAAAAATATATTCGTTACAATATTTTCAGCAATCATTTCGTAATGCTATTTATTATTTATATTGCTTTAAACATAGGAATTATAAAATAACTTAATAAACATTGTCTTAGGTGATTAATATAAACAAATATTGGCTAATAATTATATGATCGTATTATGTATATTCAATAAATGTTCCACCTGTTAGTTTATATACTGTTCTAAAAAACATTAAAAAATTCTTTATTTATTTATTTTAAAAAATGTAAAAGAATGAGAAACTCAATGAAAATATAAAATAAACATATACCAATTTATTTAAATGAATCAAATATAGCTTTTTAGGCAGCCAGATTTTTCAACCTTTCAATAATTTAGAATAAAAAGACCTGCCTGCCTGATTGCATAAGAAAAATATATCAATAATTAAATAAAGTAAAGAAGAGGATAATCACAATAACTTGGAGAATTTAACGAAGGGGTAAGGTTAATAAATGCAATTAGATTATTAATTATATTGAAGCAGGAAGCTAAATAAATGGAATACTATTACCTTGCCTTGTAATAATTGAAATTAATTAATTTTGCTATTGAAAATGATAATGAGAAATTTAATATAGGTGGGTAAAGAAAGAAAAATAGAATGATTTGGCTAATTAATTAATAAATAAATTAAGCATGCAGTGGGGAGAAAAAGAAAAATCAAAGAAATAAATTAAATAATAAGAAAAGAAAGGGGGATTTCTAAAGATAGAGCAAAGAGATACTCACTCAAATTTAGCTTTAAACATTGAGAAAATAAGCGAGCTAAATGCTTATAATTAATTATAAACACAAAAAAAAAAGTTTCTTACCGAAACCAAACTAAGTAAAAAAAATAAGCGAACAGCTACCTTTTTACAACACATAATAGTCTGCGGACACATAGGCGAGTTGAATAATTTTTCTTTTATTAAAAATGGCCCAATTAATTAACCTTAACCAAGAACTTAACATGATGTAGTCTAGTAATTCCATGAACAGGATGTCTGTGGGTGAAGCTGAAAAGAGAAACCTCACTAAGTAATTATTTAAAATATTCCTTTATTAATGAATTGAATGAAAGAATGATAATTTGATACTCCAATATAACAAGATATCAAAGAAACATCTTTTATTCAATAAAATATCTTTCACTTTTCAAAATTTAAAGCATTTTTTTATTAAAATATTTTTTTTAAATCAATTAGGAAGGGAAGCTTTTAATTCACAATTGGAAGAGAAAACAATGAAGTTAAGACTAATGAACCTAAAGGTAATTAATTATTTCCTCATTGATTGATCTATTAGATATTTAACTTACATTCCTTATTAATTAAAATAGAGTCCAAAAACAAAACTAACTAAGGACTACTTTAATTAAATTTTTTATTTTTGCTTTCGCTTGTTTGATTAATTGTTTGTCTTGCTCATAATATTTAAACAAAGACAATCAATTAATTTCAGCGAAAGAATCGCATAACTCTTTTGTTAGTTAGTTAGTTTGATTTTTTGTTAGATTTTTTAATTCAAACTACTGTCTACAACTTTCAAATTTACATTTAATTTTTCAATATCTAAATTATTTCTTATATAAAAATTAGTCATGGAACCTAGCTTGGAAGATGAATTACTCCTCACCCAATTAGCCTTGGATGACAGAGAAATCATCATTTATGATATTGCCTCAGTTATTTATCTTGGTGAAAGATAAAGAAATACTCCTTTACACACTTTCAAATGTTTCTACGATGTCAACAACAAAAATTTCTTTGTTGAATTATCTGACAAGAGTCCTTTGGAACACCTTACCAAGTCTACTTTCTTGAAAATTTTAGACATTGCTGAAGGCACTGGTGCTGAAAGAGTTTATGTCTGCCTTCACAACAAAACTACTGAAATCGGATCTAAGATTCAAACTTTGATGTTTGTAGGTTTCCACAAGATTATGGGACAAGAATTGTAAAGAGTTTCTAAGACTCGTACTCACACTTTACTCTGCTACGATCTTAACGAGTGAATGATTGAATGAGTACACAAATAAATACACAAATCAATTAATCCTTATTAGTAGGAAAGTGTTTGATAACACCTAAGCATCTTAATACAGGATGAATACTTGCAGTACCTTGAAGATTGTTTTAATTTATTAAATTATAAATGTCTATATAACCTAATTAATATATCAAAACAACTATTACTTCCAATCTTCAGATATGGGGTATTCAAGCCTTTCCATTCTACCTGATTAGATCTAACAAACAAACAAATATAAACAAAATATAACTTTAATTTGTAAAATAATGTATACTTTATATGTCATACTGTTGTTTGTTACTACTATTACTTACTTGCTTAAACAATCATTAATATCTCATTAAATTTAAAACTATTTTAATTATTTCTATTTCTAATATTAGGTTATTTACATATTTTCTCTTTAATATGATAGTTATTTTGATAGAATAATCAATCCTTTTGCTCATGGTAAAATATTGTTTTTCTTACTGTGTGTTAACCCACCTATTTTGATATGACCAATTGATAGTTTTAATATTTATCTTGTTTTTTTAATAAGTTATCTGTCAAATAATTAAATTTGCCTCTTATCAAATTGCACTATATATTTTAATTAAGTTGATTTACAAAGCTAATAAATAAATTTGTAATTGTCGTCAATTATTATTTATTAAATTCAAAAAGCAAAAAGATATTCTTTTCTTATAAAAGATTTAAAAGAATTCAAAAAAAAAAGTTATTAGTTTGTTTGTTAGTAGTTAGTTTGTTAGCTAATTAGTTTCTATTTACAAACAATACCATCAAAAAATGCACATCAATTTATTTATCAAAATTTTTACTTAACTTTTATGAGTAATTTAATCATTCAAATTAAAATATTTATTAATAAATTTTATTTCCATTAAAAACGTGATGTATTTTTTGTTAATTAATAGAATTTCATTTTAAATAATTCTTTACATTTTTTAAAATTACTTTTCTTTCTTTCAGTTTACATTAAGAATACTTTTTCCTTTGCATTTGAAATAGAGTTGAAAAAATTGTCTGTCTATATTCTAGATAAAATAATTAATTTAAAACTAGATTGATGATTAAATGATGAGTGGATTGATATTGATATATGAATATAAAAGTTCTCCCTTACATAAAATATTTGTAAATATTTTTTTTTAATAAAATAAATTCATTTATTTATCATAGATTATTTTTAGAAAATCTAAAAGAATGAATGATTCCTACTTATATCACTAATAAATATAAAAAATTAAAAATAAAACTAAAAAGAGTTATCAATAAATAAATGTTTAAAGGTATCGATCACTTCTTTGTTAAGTGTAATTAAATGATCAAAAATTAATTAATTAATTTTTTGTTTGTTTGTTTGAATGATATAGAAAGCAATACATGAATACTTTAAGAAAGTGAATAGATAGAATAAAAGAATAAGACTAAATGCATCATTAAGATAAATATCTATTTTTATTACGTATTGAATTAATGACATAAAAATAGATAGTTAATACTTTTATAAGATAATCATTAAAATAAATATTACAATAATTACAATCAATTATTTTTAATTATAAGAAATACTACCCACTATAAATCAAACATACATTTTCATAGTGTTGCTGATATTTGCTTTCTTAGAATTTACTGACCCAATAGGATTTGATGTAGCTGTAGAAAAAGTCACGTTCTAATTAATCGGGCGAATTGTAAAAGCCTCAGAAGCATTCGAAGTAGATAACTAAAACCAGTCCTTTACATATTCATCATAATCCAAATTTTTAGACCATTCAATAAGTTCCTTTACTTCAACTTCAAATTAATTTTCATCCATATCAATATATTTTGGGTCTTTCAGAGGATTGAAGTCACTTGGAATTTCCAAAAATTCCTTTTCGACTCTTTCATCTTCATTCAAACCATCATCTTCATCCTCATCATCATTTGCATCAGGATCGCCATATAATTCCTTAAACTATTTTTCGTAATTCAAATATCTTTACTCGTCAGTCAAGTTAAACTCATCTTAGACTTACTATTAGTCTTGATTTGCTTTTTATTATGTAATGAAATCATCTTGATTTTCTTTACCCTCACCCTAATCAATTCCATTTTTTTAAAACTTCTCCTTAGCTTATTCTTCTTCCTCCTTTCTAGCATTTTTATACATATTTTAGATCCATCTTAATTTATTCTAATATAAAAATTAAAAGATTGATTGATTCTAATTTATGTTTAGCAAATTTTCTTACTAGTCTTTTCTTTTTTTGAACTTTTTCGTCTCTCTTTTCTTTTTTATAATGGTAGTACCTAATTTTGTTCGCTGAAAATAGTTCTACGTAGTCTGTTTTATTAAACACTTTGTGTGAAATCTGTTTTACATACATTGATTTTAGTTCATGTAATATTTTATAAAATTTACTGGTCTCCACCCATTATTGTCTATCCTCAAGTACCAACCTTAATTTTAATACTGATCTTTGTTTTTAACATACTATTCATATTTTATTTTCTTTTCATCTGTCTAACATTTTAGTTGAATTTATTTATGCAAAAGTTACTCTCAAATTTTGTTTAAATATATTACTCCTCTTTTTATTACTGAGTAGTCTCTAGGTGCAAAACTATTTAAATCTACTAGAGCTCCATGCGTGAATATTTTGTAGTAAATATTTGGAGGAAAATTCTTAATTTTATATAAATCATGTTTATTTTTAGCTGGTAAATAACAAATAAATGTTTACCTCACCTCCTAATCTAAATCTTAAATGCACTCTTGTAGATGCTTCTAATAATTGCGCTTCTAAAGGATTTATAGCCTTCAGCAATCTCGAAGGATTACCTCTATTTATTATTTTTGAAGTTGTGTTATTTACAATGAGTAACTTCTTTGATGAATATTATTTTTGCTAAGACTGAAAAAAAATAAATTTAACAACTAAAAAATGCGCTTACTTGCACTTAAAGAGAATTATATCTTTATAATATTTATATATTTTCCTATTTGTGTAAGATCTCCATAACCTGTTTAGAATTTATAAAAATAAAAAAATTTTAAAACTAAATAAATCATCAAATATTTTAGTTAGATCAACAAAAATATGATTGGCGAAATTGCTATTTTTGAGTGATAGTTTACTTTTATATTTTAGAGGCAGCAACTTATGGTGTAAGTTCTTCTTCTCTAACTGAATCCATACAATTTTTTAAAATTATAACTAAACTAACTTCTTTATTAGAATATTTTAACCCTTTTAGCCTTGAAAAACTATATAGATTGGTGAATTGTTAAACAAATATTATTACAACTTTAATAATAAAAAAATATCGAATGATTGTGATTGCACGGTTGTATATCAAACAAATTTACTAATATTTGATAACATTGAACTCTAATTATTTATAACAGTTAATTCATACTTCTCAGTATATTTAAAATTATACTTATAAGTAAGACTTAAACATGTATGCAAATTTAATGGTTGTACTACTATTTGTAGTAAAATGCCATCTTAAAATTAAAACTTGTTTAATAATTTAAAAATAAATTAATTAAATTTCATTTTGTGTAAATATTTAGTTGTAATTAGTTTAATATTTTCTTTTGATTTCATTTTTTTCAATTAGTATGAATAATTTTAAAATATTCAAAAAATGTTTAAGAATCCAAAGAAGATTTTGATGTCAGTTAAAAAAATTATAAATTTTAAATGTATTTAAATGTGCTTATATTATTATTTTTAGTTTTTCTACTAATAAAAATTAAAAATGATACATAAATGAAATATTTTAAATGAAAAAGTTTAATTTTATTTTCACTACATAACTCGAAATTATTTATTTGCTTTAATAATTTGATTACTATAAAATAAGTTAAGCATGAAACGAAGCAATGGACTTCATAAAAACTGATCAAAAATTTCTAATACAGGATAAATTTCAAGCAATTAGCGTTATCCTAAAAAAAATTAATGCTTAATGATAAATATGACTATGTTTTTTTAAAAAAAATATCAGTAGTTTTTCTAATATTAAATTTATAGTTTTATACTAATTTTATATTATTGATTTGAATAACTCAAAAACAAATTAATTATTTCAATTTATTTAGAGACAAAGTTTATCTCATGTAACTTATTTCTATTTTAGGAATAAGAAAAGATAATTTTAGGGTTAAAATGATTGTTAGCTTTGTTGTTATAAATTAACAAATTTGTATTCCTTGCCAGAATAAGAAGGATACTTATGACATCTTTGAATAAGTAAAAATATTTTTGCTAGTAAAAACTAAGAAAAATTATAAATTAATAAAATACTCTAGTACTAGCTTTGTACTACCAAACTATTTAGACATTACTGCTTGGATTTTTAAACGTATTAATCAGATAATGAATAATTTATTATATATTCAGTATGATAAATAAATTGATTTATTGGCAATCAATTTATATAAATATTTTGTAATACATTGAGCAATGTCCAAATAATAAAATAGACAAAAATATTATAAGATCCCTAATTGTATTTTCTTTTATTTAAATATTTTAAACACTTTTTGATTCTCATCTACTTATCTATGATGGGATAAACAAATACTGAATGTTTACCTATTTATATCTTTTTTTCTTCTATTACCTTAAAAACTTTATGTATGTACATTTTATTCATCATTCTTGAATTTGAATTATTTATCTAGTAAAATAAATACGCACAATTAATTAAAAAACCTACTTATTAATCTGCTGTGTGGATAAATCAATTTAAAGAGGTAATTATGAATTTTAATGCATGTTTATAGACAACAAAACTCCACATATAAAAAAGATATGCTTCATACATATTTACTTAATAAATTAATTTTCGTTTGTATCAAAATTAATTTTAATTTGTAAAGAGATTAGTAAGAAGGCTGGTCTATTCCATTCTTTTTAAAATAGAAAGGGAAATTAAGATTAAAAACTCATTACTCCAAATCAAAAAGAAATTTATAAAGAGAAAAATAATTTGCTTATTTCGTAGCTAGTACTAGCTAAAATAAAAGAGATTAAAAATATAAAACAAAAATTAAATTTAAATAATAAGTTATTAGATATTCTTGCTATCTGAAATAGTATTTTTTTAGTTATCTATATTCAATTTTTTTTTATAAAGCCTTGTTAATATAGTTATTACTTAAATTTAATCTATTCAATTTTCCTTAATTCTGAGTAATGAAATTTCATTACTTCCTTCTTTATTCTAATTAAAAATTGATATGAGGGGTAGGAGGCTAATAGCTAGCTAGCTAGCTAATAATTTTAAGGTCTTTTAATTTAAATTTAAATAGAAATTAATATATAAAAATCGCTCATACTATTTATCTATCTTTCTATTTTTTTTTTTATTAAATTGAAAGAAAAAAAAAGAAAATGATCAAATTGGTAATATTATTATCTATATGAGCACTAAATGCCTTTTTCTTTTAAAAGAAAAAATGAAGATAAGAAGCGATAATTAATTAGTATCAAAAACAAAAAAAAAAAGAAAAAATAAGACAAACAAAGATTGGTTGTTTGCTTGATAGACCTTACTAAACAAACAAAATCACTAATAAATTATTTAATAATTCATTCACTCTTTCATTTATTTATTAATTCATTCACTAATCATAGAAATAAACTAATTACAAAGAAGATTTATTTATCTTTATCCCTCTTAAAAATTAAAAAAAGTACTTCAGTGGATAAAATCAATCGATTACCTTTGAATCATAAATTAATTTGATTTAATACTATAGCATATAATTAATTATTAACAAAAATAATAAAATTAAAAACACTACTCACTCCTCGTATATTAATTCTATTAGATTTAATCAAACTTAAACCTCTTGTTCCCATTTTCCTATACCCTTACAACCAAAGTGGTTTATTTACCCATCCATAATCTAAAGAACCTTCTTTCTTAAAGTTGATTTGATTTACTTTTCATCTGCCTGATCAAATGGAGGCCTTTGCTCGTATTGCTGATTATAACACCCTTTGTAGATTTGCCATTTTAGGGTTCATTTTTGCTCTTAATGGCTGCGTTTATGCTACTATTCCTATTATTTTTTATCGTCCTCAATTTTATTGTGCCAAGCTAGGAGCTTTCGACTCAAATAACTAATAAATCTATGAACCTTGTGATGAAGCTGATGCTTGTAGCTCTAATGTGATGTATAGAATTTCTACTGATTACCCTTAGATCAACTCCATTTCAATGGAATTCAATCTATACTGTGGTAGAAAATTCATAGAAACAGCTATTCTCACAATGATGGCTGCTGGTTAGATTTTCTCTTTTGTCGTTGGTACAGCTATTTACATACACCCCAAAAAGCAATATAATTATTTCATTTACGGAAATTTAATCACTGGAATATTTCTTTGCTTAAGCTATTTCGTTACTAATCCTTTTTTACTCATTCCTATTTTGTTTGTGTGGAACACTTACTATGGGCTCTACATGAGTATCATTTTTGCTCACCTCAATTTCTTCTTTAATGGTGTTTTAAGCAAATTCGGTCCCTCAATATATAACACTGCATGGCCTGTATTCATGCTTCTATACTGCCTTTTTACTTATTATTTTGGTTTCTGGAGATAATCTCTTGTCATCTTTGCAGGTATTCCTTACCTTATTCTCACTGGCCTTCTGATTTACTTCAAGCCTACTAACTTAAGACCTATCTCTAGACAAAATTAAAATGCTGTTTCTGATTCGTTTTTGTCCAACCCTCTTGGAAATTCAAATTAATTAGGTTAATAACAATAGTAGAAATATCAACCACCTGTTTTAAAGCAATAATTATCAGAATAAGATGCTAGTAAACAAAACAAAGCTTCTGAGCCACCAAAATCTAACTTTGCTGCTAATACTCCTACAAGCAGTACTTAAATTCAAAATCCTAGCACTTCTACTCAAAAAATACCTAGCAGCTAAAACATTAACGTAAACAACAATTCGAGTATTTTAAAGAAAGTTATCAAGAAAAATGCTTTAAATTAACGTTTGCTAGATACAGATAAACATGAACTCACAATTAAAGCACCTGCAGCTGCAAGTATTTAACAGAAAAAACTGGATGAATCCTTGAAAATCATGGATGAGAGCACTGCTAGTCCCAGTTCTTCAACTAAACGTCCTAAGGCAAATACTACTGCTTGGGAAGACTTTAAAAACTAGCTCAAGAGCATACACGAAAATGAAAAGTATTTTAAAAATGTTGTAATTTTCATTTTATGTTGGCTTGGAACAAACATAGCATATTTTGGTTGCTTGCTAGTTATGGGAGACCTCGGTGGTGACATTTACACTAATGTTGCCTTCAGTACTGTTTTTGAATTCCTAGGTAACTTTTGTGCAACATTCTTGATCATTAAGTTCCCAGAAAGATAAATTCTTAGAGTTTCATTCTTTATAGTAGGTGTTTCTTATATTAGCTGTCTCTTTTTTGACCCCTTAAACTAAGAAGTTGGAAATGGCTACACATTAAGCATCATATTATCCTTAATCCCTATTATTATAGCAAAAGGAACTCACGAAATGCTTTGGACAGTCCTCTAAACTTATCTCAACATTATTCTCCCTCCAGAATTTCACCAATTCTCATTTGCTTGTTCCAACTTAGTTAGTGTTATCGTAATGGATCTCCTTCCTCTGTATAAATATCTCATGGAAATGCTAAGATTTAACTAATTCTTTGGTTACGGTTTATACTGCATATTCACATATTACATTATTCAATTCTTTGAAGATCTTTATAAAGAAGATGGAAAACCAATTTACAGTGATTATGTCCACGTTGAAGATGGCAAAGAAGATATCGAAATGCAACTCTATAAAGATTTGTCTTTAGCAACTGAGCTGATAAAAACAATTTGAATGTATTTTAATAACCTTCCAACATATATATAAAATTCTTAACAACAAACAAACATTATTCATTCTGTCTTATTACTTAAGAATTTAATTTAATAGAAAAATAAATCTACTCTAAAAATATTTCAACTCAAGTTTCATGATAAACAATTTAACTTATTTAGTATTTTAAATTTATAAAAACTGCACTTGTTTGTATTACTTCAATTATATTATATTTAATTTAGTTAATGTTATAACTCAAAATATTTTTTTTATTCTCTGAATATACACATTCTATAATTACAAACATTTACATAATGTTATGCTTATAATTTTAGAATATAATTTAGAAAGTTTTGTTTATCATCTAAGCCAAATAAATAAGTCTTACTCTAAAATCATTTTCATTTTAAAATATTATAAATTTAACATGTAATTAAGTTTAAAAACCTATTTTGGGTTCTAAGTTCTTTGATTGTTTGTGTTAAAAATAATCAAATAGATATATCAAAGGCTATTTGTTTTATTTGAAATATTTAATTGAAAATTTAATTATAATAAATCCTAAATATCATTATTTAATTGTATTTTTTGATGTTTTTTATATTTAAAACTAAATTTTCATTTTTCTCAACTCTCTAAAAATAAAAATATTAATATCACTACTATAATAAATATATGCTTTATAAGTGACTTATCTTCGCTAAAAATAGAAAAATAAATTATTTTCATAAATATTTTGTTTATTATATAAGAATTTATTTCTGCTAATAATGTAAATTAATATAAAGAATACTTACCAAGTTTTTAATTAACTTTCTGAAAAAAAAGATAAGGAAAATACTTCTTTTCTTTTAGAATGTAAAAATGAGAAATGGATAATTTGATTATCTATTTTAAATATATTAAATTCAGTTTAAATTACATAAGTTTTTTAAGGTTATATGCTAAGTATAAAATATCATTACAGTTTATTTATTTAAAAAAAACTTTCATAAATTAATTTAGTAAATGCCTAAAAATGTTTATAATTTCATTTAAAATACTTATTGTATAAAAGAAAATAGTTCATCTTAATTTCTTTTATTATAGCTTTAACAATGAATTGTATTTACAAAAATAGTAAAAAACCTAAAAATTAATTAGAAACAGAAAAATACAATATACAATTTTAAATATATTCAGATATTTTATTTTAGATATAAGAAAAAATAAATTAATAGTCATGAAAAATTGATAAATAGGTGTGATTTTGAAAATGATAAATGAAGCAAATTATTTTGGATTTTATATAAAAAGATTTCCAAAAGAATGTTTGAAAGCAAACTCTTAAAATAAAATAATAAAATTTTAGTAATAAATATTCCTTAAGTATTTTAGAAATTAATTATTAAGACTTCTATTACAATAGCGTCTATTCATTAATTAATAATCAATTTGTGATGATGTAAAGAAATTAAAAAATAACAAAAGTATTGTTTAGATTTAGTGATGTTACAAATAATCAAATACAGCCTTAATAGCTCATTTATAAAAAGAAACTCTGATTATTTAAATCATAAAACAAAATCAAAATAAATCGTCATAACTTCTTTATTAAAAATAAACCATTGACTAGCTAATTAAGTCCTATTTAAAAGAAATAAAAACAAAATTTGTATGTTTTTTTATTTACTTATTAGATAAGCAAGCTTCTTAGAACTTAGAGCACAACTTTCAGTCTTTTATTAAATATCTAAGAATAAATTACTTATTGGCTACAAATACTTTTTGCTCTATTCTAAAGAGTATTATTTTCAGCTTTTTAATAGTATTTTTTTATATGCAAATGCCAAAATAATTTCAAACCACTTTTGTAGAAAAAAAAAAAATTTTAAACTGTATGACTTTCTTATTTATTTGAAAGTTGGTCTAGTAATATAATATATTATAATAATATTTCTTTTTCAAAAATAGAAGCTTCTCTGTTTAGGACCCTTATCTGATCAAGTTACTTATGTTTATTTATTAATTTAAGAAAAAAGTGGATAGGAATTATAAAACATATGAAGGAAGAATACAAAGAATACAGTACTTTTGTTAAATTTTAAAAAATTAGTCGCTCCCCAATTAATATTGATGAATACAAAATGAAGATTTATAAATAATTTAATAAATATCAATTAGAATACAATCTCTTGTTTATACCTAATTTATAAGGATTAGGTATTTTGATTTAAATATAAATGCAAGTATACTGATTTGAGTTTATTTTGTTTATTACAAATTGTATTCACTATAATGTATTTACATTTTAGAATTTTCTTTTTGGCTATAATAATTTTGCTGTCAATCGATCTTCTTCTGAGTTTTGAACTGCTTTTTCTCTATCTAAATAATAAAAAAGAAAATTAGAAGCTGGGAGTTGATTGGGTAGGGTAAAAATTTAGAAAGAAAAAAAATAAAGATTTATTAATTTTTGAAATAATAAAAAAGACTATTTAGTAAAAAATATATAAATTCAAAATTGTTGTTAAGCTCCCACAATTTATCATAAATATTAACTACAGGGTTTCTTTTTTTGTAAACTTTCCTCAACTTAATATCTTTCATTTCATTCTTTACGTGCATATGTATGTTCTTTTTAAAATATTTATTCAAATTTTATATATTTGGATTTTTTTAGATGTAAAAAACTATATCTTAAAAAGCATGCTTGAATAAATGAATAAATAAGTTAATAAACAAAATACTGAAATGATTTAAATTGCTTTTTGAATTACATCACTCACTCATTAAAATCAGGTAAAAGTGATTCAAAAATTATTTAAATTAAGATCAGATGGATTTTCTTTTTAACTTTTAAAAAACAACAAAAAATGTAATTATTCTAAGTTTTTAAATTTCTGTTAATTATAATAACAATAAATAAGATAAAAATTATATTTTTAATGTAAATTTAGAAAAACTTTGTTCACATCCTTTATGTTTTGACACAATTATATTTTTTTTAAAATATCAAAATTGAAAAATAAAAAATAATAATAATTTTTTCACAATCCTTTTCTATTTATTTCAGAATATTAATTTGATATTTATTTAAACAAATTAAAATAAATATCAATCAATCAACCAAGGTAAGCTTATTTTCTTTAAAAATATATTTAACATCAAAGATTTAAATACTAAATTCTAAATGATTTTAAAAAATCTTTATTGTATTTTTATGTAAAGTTATTCTAATGAAAAATCAAAACTTTTTAAATATTAAACATAAATTTAGCCTTTCTTTAAATTACAGTGTATCTTTAATTAAATTTAAGAAGGAATTTATCTATTAACCTTTTTAACAGGTATATATATTCCACAAAAATTTATGAAGCTGTTAATATTTGATAATTATCATATAATAAAAATGTTCATTTTCATGCAACTCAACGGGTATTTAATTAGTGAGTGTAAGCTGAAAGGACAAATTAATCTAATATTTTTGATAATATAATATTTTACAATCAAAATTAATTTGTTATTCTTGTACTTTTAAGTTAGGTAGGTAGGTAAGTATATATTAATATTCATGTATTTAGTAAGATTAGTAAGGGGTAGGATTTGAAATGCTTTGATAAATGTAAACTTCATAAAGTATTAAGAAGATATGTATAAAATAATAAAGAAAGTATTTATTTTTATAAATATTAAAGATATTAATATTATTTTTTTGTATATTGTTTGAGTTATTGTTTATATAACCATAAAAAGTAAATTATAAAAAGTTATTATAATATTTAAATATATTCAATAGATAAATAGATAATTTGATAATATTTTTGAAATATATATCAACCAATTCTTTTTGTCAGATTAAAAATAATTTCTTTTGGCTATCTAAAATAAGAAAATAAGTTTATCTACTTTAAATTTTAATCTACCATAAATAGTTTTTTAAGTTATTAATTGTGCTACAAATTTAACTAAAAGTTTACAATAAAAAATTGAAATTATATTTAAAACCATATTTATAATACTATAATTTAAAATGTTTCTATTTTAATTTAAATTTCTTTAAAAAGTTTTAATTGTTTTAATCTTAATTTTAAATAAAGTTTTTTGTCTAAATTTGTATTAAAATTAATATCTTTTTTTATAAAAAAAACTATGATATTTTTTTTCTGAGTAGATCATAATTTCTTTTAAAGAGGAGTAATATTTTTGTTATAAGTTAATTTAACAAAGCTTAGTTATCTCTTATCAAAAGCCATCTATATTTTTGTCTAATGATTTTTCTGAAGAGTAAGAGCTACTTTCTTCTTAGTTTTAGGAATATTCATTATATTATTTTAGGGATTAGACTTCATTATTCTAATTAAACTTACTTTCATTTTAATTATTTTCTTAGAAAATATTTATAAATTTTTTGTTTAAATTTATAACACCTGGAGAGAATTCACTAAAATTTATCTAAGAACCACTCTTTTAAAGTTATTCACTGTTAATTACTTGCAGAAAATCTTACTCTTAGTCCTTTAATACTTTTTACTTCTCTGTTTAGACAAGACGAAAAGACCTGTTTTAGCTCATTTCTAAGTTTTTATTTATCAGCTAAATTTGTTAATCAATTATGGTATTGTCTTTCAATTTTATATCATCTAAATTATTCTAAGAGGGTTCAGGATGAGTTTTTTAGATAGATTTAGCACTTCTACTAGTTTTTTGATCATCAATACAATCTTTTTAATCTTTATTTGTTTCTGGCTACAAAATTCCTTGTTTTTCTGAGTCGTAATTTTGACTATTTATGCCTTCATGTTTAATATCTAATTATATTAAAGGCTAATTTTCTAATTTTTAGCTATTATTAATTCCTAGTTAGCTTAGTTTATAAGGACTTTGATTATTTGATTAGGGGTATTAGGGTTTTGTTGAACTTTTTGTTACTCTTAAACTGAGCATACTGTTTATTGAACTTTTCTTTCTTTAAGGTTAAGGAGAAAAGAATTCCTGATCAATATAGTTCGTTCTATCTGCTTAGCTTTAATCCTCATTATTCTCTTCTTTTATTACTTAATTTTCTGCTTGAACAGTATTTTGATATTTATTTTATTGAGGATTAATTGGATGAAAAATTGAATCTGTGATAAATTGCTAACCTACCTACTCGTTATTTTTTGGAGTTAACTCATCTTTAGAGTATGATTCTTTGTGAAGAGCAAAATTACTAATAAGAAGTGAAGAGTTTATTTAATAGGAGTTATTTAATTATCCCTCAGATTCCTCGTCTTTTTCCTTGATAATATTATTTCGCTGACTGTTTATTTCTAATAAATGCATTTAAACACTCCATTTTCTAAATTTTGAGACTATTTAAAGGTATTCATTCTATGCAATATCATTACACTTCAAGCAAACATAGATGAATTTTGCATTTAAAAAAAAGTACTCTTACCAAGATTCTATAAATTTTTACTACCTTGAAAGAAAATAGGATTTCTATTCAGTTTAGTGCTCTATTATTGAGTCTTAGAAGTTATCAAGTGGTAAAAAATCATCAAATTTTTTTGTTTATCTTCTTGAAGAACCATGAGAAATTAATTTCCCTTTCTATTTAGTGATTCCATTTACAATTTAAAACACATTTAAGTACTTAATTACGATAAAAAGTTATTTTTTAATATGAAGAATAATCATTTTAAAATAATAAAATAATGAAGTGAAAAGAAAATTTAGATAAAATATTTACTTATCTGTATTTTCTGCATTCTCTTTTATAAAATTTAAGAAACAAATCTTCGATATTAGAGTTTTAAATTTATTTAGTGATTGACTAAGAAGATTTGCAGTAAATACAACATCTGCCTTCACCTTAAAGCATATATGCAGAGACACATTTCTCAGCTAATGTTTATACTCTAGACCTAAGAAGCCAATATCTTACAATCATAGCAGCGTTTTTAAAAGATGTTTTTTAGCTATTAGTTTCAAACCATTTTATAGATGACTCAACCTTCTGTTCATTAGAAATTTAATCTCCTTTAAAACGATTCAATTTTAATTTTCCATAAATACTCTTAAATCCTGATAATATTAGTTATCTATTTCTATATATTTAAATATTATGTCTTAATATTTGAAAACTAATGTTAATTACTTTTTTAATTAGTTCTTAGAATCTCCTTTCATTAAATCTTCAAATAGCAATTTGATGTTTTTTTAAAACCATTTTTTGTTAACATTTAAGAAATTAATCTTAAATTGTTCATTTTTATATTCGTTATTTTCAAGTTTTGGCATTAGTTCCTTCAATTTCAGTATTTTATTTTTTAAGACCACTGATTTTTTAATACTCTCTCTAATATTAAGCCATTTTTATAATTTTTTATAAGGCTCAGGATCCTATTTTCTATATTTATCAGCTATTTGTACAAATTTCATCTCTAAGTTTATGCTTTAAATTAAATAATCAATTTTAATCAATAAAATATTATTCATAAGTAATAGGTAAAAATGCAGCAAAAATAAATTAAATTATCTAAATTGTAAAAGTTTTAAACATAAACTTAAAGTTTTTAACTTTATCAAATCTATAAAATTTAAGTATTAAATGAATTGAAGATTTTTTGAATTAATAAAAAATAAGGTAATATTGTAATTAATTTTAAAGTATTACATGAAAATTTAAATTAAATTTAAACATTTTTAAAAAATAAAAAAAAAATTTTATTAAACTTTTTTGAAAAGTTAAAATTATCTTCTGTTAATTTAAGAATTTAAATTTTAGCTTTGAAAATTAAATAATAAAAAATTTACTTTAATGTTTCTTTTTCCTCAAACAACTCTAATAAATAGTTTTGTATTCTTAAGTCTGACTATTTGATCATACCTATAGCATCTAAAAAGAACATCTTAATATATTTATTTTTCTAAATAAGTTATTTCAATTCACTAAACTCATTATTTTGTTCATTTAAAATTTAGTATATTTTTTAACTGGCTTGGTGACTAAAATTAAAATTTTATTATCTTTCGAAATCGCTTTAGCTAGAGTCTGGAAGCTAATTAAGAAGTGAAAATTTCTTTTCAAATTCTAAATACCCTTTACTAAATTTGGCATTATTACCAAACCTATGGTTTTATTACATTTTAATAAGCTTTTCTTATACTGAGCTTTATTTGAAGATGATATTATCTCTTGAAAAAATATTATTTGGCATATTATGTTATCTAATGTCTTCTATTGTTTCTAAACATTTTTTATCAGCTGTTAAGTTATTAAAATCTCTAGTATAAACTTCTGTTACTTAAAATAACTGTTATTAATCCTTAATCAAATGTTCTGTAGGTATTAACTATTACTCTGTTAATTTAATTTCATCAATTACGTCTTCATTTAATTTTTATTATTTAGATTTGATTTTATCCTCCACTTTCCACAAAGAGATATGATCGTAAATGTAAACTAAGACAGTATCGACTAAAAAACATACTATTATCCATAATATAGTTATTGTAACTAAGTATTCATCACTTAGAAAGTTATATTTGTTTGCTAAAACTGTGAGAAATCCATTTATGACAACCATTGAACCTTTTTAATGAATTGTAAATAAATTATTAATTTTCTAATAAGATTTTACTTCCTAAAAACAAGCTTTAGCAAAAAAAATATTAAGAAGAATAACACCAGATATCTATGTATTAAACCTCTTTTTCTACCATCTTCAAAAAATCATTTTCATCATCTCTTTTCCAATTGTATTTTCTGTTTTGATATCTTTGACGAACTTAATTTACATAATCATATATGTAAAGTTAGTGAAGCTACTCAACAGATTTGAGCAAGAGAATATCCATGACTATCTAAAAAGGTATATTTGACACATTAAACAACAAATAAAACACCAAACCTGCTTTCTTGATACGCCACCTAATAAAAGTCTAACTTGCATCATAAAACATCCACATTTAGACAATTTAAAATGGCTTATTTGAATAAAAAAATAACTTTGATTATACTCCTTTTAGAATTATTTACAGCTTAAAGCATAGTGAGTGAACAGTTACAAAAATCTGTATAAACTTTAATAATTTAACTTCCATTTTCTTTGTATTCTTGCTCTTATGTTTTTTATTTTTCGTTTTCAGGATGTGACTTCATGAAAGATTTTGTTATTTTATGATCTAAGAATCTTTAAAATTTATCTTCGAATTCATCAAAGCTTTCATTTTAATTTATTTATTGCTAATCTTCTTCTGTTTATGCCTATTAAATCAGCTCATTTACTTATTAAATATCTGCAAAATTTATTCTCTTCTTAGTAGAGCTAAACATATTTTCATTATTTTCTGTTTTTAAATCTTACAAATGAAGTTATCCGTAAGTTTTGAAAGACTATTAGTCAACTATTTTATTAAAACAAAATTTCAAAACTTTAATAAAATGATATACTTAGCTTACAATTAGCATCATAAGTATCCATGCTTTCTTCATATCTTTCAGATAAGAGTACTTCACTGTTATCTAAATTGTATATTGATTAAATTTAGAATTTAATAACAAAATTAAAAATTACCATCTAATTTCTTATTTTAATTATCTGTTTCATCATCAATAGTATTACCAAAATTATCATTATTTTAAGATTAAGTGGATTCATCTTCATTAGTTTCATATTAAAACTATCTATTTAAAAAAATTATTTATTTTATCTATTATCATTAATAGAATTTTTACTTTTATATCCATTTCTTAAATATTTTTACAAACTTAAATGCCCTATGTGAAACATGATGTACAAGAATAACTTAATTGGTCTTTTCAAAGGTAGAAATTCCTAGACTAACAAAATATGTGAATAAATACTCATAAAAATCAAGAGCTCCTAAACCTGATACAATTAGAGTGGTTGCTATAGTTAATTAAATAAATAATAAAAAACAAAATAAAATTTCCATATTTAAAGTTTTGAAAAGAAACTGCTTTCAACTAAAAATATTTTTAAGAGTAAATTCTTTAATAAGAAAAAATATAAAACACCAAAATATTTTTTTTTTAAATTTAAAATAAATGGCTTTTAATAATTAAAGTTTTTTAAAATATATAAAGAAATAATTTTATACCAATTACACAGTTAAAAGAACTTGTAAGCAATTCATTTTCCATGTAAACTTTTAAGCTTTCTTATATAAAAATTTATGTTATCTTTAAAAGAGCTGTAAACAGCCAAATGTTTTATGCATAAAAGGCTGAAAAAGATAAATGCAATATGATTAACATAATCGTCCAAACAATAATCGACATATACAGATACTATCCTCTTTTCCAGATTCTTTCTTACCAAATATTACCATCATAAAATTCAGTAACCATCATTTTGTCTCTTTCTTTTAACTTGTTAAGCGTTTTGAGTAGTTTTTGTTATTATCCAGATGAATCTTTAATACAATCATCAACATTTTTGTTTATTCTATCTTATGTGGATGAAGGAAAAAAAACTCCAGTAATTCTTATGCAACCATATATCCCTATTACAATAAGTGTATAACCCAATCTTCCTCTTCTAATATATTGTGTTATTGTTGTACTCTGTAAGTATTTTTATAATTAAAATTAACAAAATATTGTAAATTCTTTTTAATAGTACTTGCTTATTTATTTATTGTATTTTATTTAATTTTTAAATTTTGAATATAAAATTATTTTTTTAGTAATTAAATTACATTAAGAACTTCTAAAATAGAGGTTTCACATACTGAATCAGTTGTCGGCATTTCACATGGTGCTATCGAATATCCCCAAAAGCCTCCGAGCATTGCTATTGAAGCTATGCTTTAAACCAAAAAGCTAAATGATACTCCAAGAATCACACCAGATAAGATAGGTTAATAGAGTTTAATGTAATGCCTCACACTATTCAGTTTTTTCTTGAAGAAAACAAAAGTAAATTCAAAAGAATTTTTATTTTTCAACATTTTTCTTCTGAAAATTCTATTTTTGTGTTTAAATTCAAAAAATTGTTAAAATTTTAAAATGAAATTATAAGTATTAATTAATTACATATTTGCTATCCTAAAATATATATGATAAATTAATATAAAGCAAATAGAGAGAGACCCAATTAAACTACACAGTATGAGATATACCTGCCATTCAAGAGCAAATGCTATGGCCAGCTCTGAATGTGACATTGAATGAAATGAAAGGATAAAGTTAAACTGAAAATTGGAAGATGAGCTATTGCTACTTTCTTCAATGAATGATCCAAAACTCATTTCAGCAGTTATAATTTTTTTTGTATACTTGTCAACTTGATAGTAGTTGATTTCTAGAGTAATGGTTTTGGGAAGAGTAGAAGAAGGGACAATATTTTTTGTAACAATTGGGATTAAACTCAGTGACTTTATGCTATTTTCTCCTGTAAGATCAGTATCTATATTAATTGGATTTTATGTGATAAAGAATAGTTCTGCCTCTTTGTTTTATTGATAGAATTTTGGAAAATTATTATTATCATTAAAGGCCTCATCGAGTGAACACTAAAATTTAATCTCCTCACATATATCAGAAACAGGTATTTACTTAAACTCAATTTACCTAATTGGTATAGTATTTTAAGGAGTTTAGAGTTCGCAATAATTTGGATCTTCAATATATTCATGTAGATAAATAAATTACCCACTGCCTTTACAGTTACTCATATAAGGAATATAAGGAATTGCAATTTACTCTTTGCTTTTCCAAAATATTTCGTTACTTTAGTATGTAATATTCTAATATGATGTTAAAGAAGCATTTTGAAGAGCTTCACTATTATCAAGTGGTGAATAGGTAATTAAGGTTGGTGGATAAGACTAATCAGGTTCTAAGACTGGTATGTTTAGAGGAAGGTTAATTTTTTATTCATTTTAAAGCACAAACATGAAAAGTTTATTTTATCCATAATTCGAACGATATGGTTATTCTATCTTGATCCTAGCCGTTTGCTAAAATAGCATTCTCATATTAATATATTTTTGATTCAAAATCCGAATAAATAAAACTAAATTTAGATCTTAATAAGCAAACAATTTGAAAACATGAGTTTATTCCTTTGTATTCTTGCTATTTAAAAACATTTATGGTAATTCAACTTAAAAAGGACTTAAATCATTATCTAAATCATCCAATTTTAAAGTGTTGTTAGTAGCAATTAAAATCTATCAATAAATAAAAAACTGTTATTGAAAAATTTAAAAAGAGGGGAGTTAAATAAAACTCATTTAATAACTTGATAATTAATTAATTAATTAGCAAGTTAGTTATTCTTAAAAATTACATCCCAATTTTTTCCATAATCAAAGTCTATGTTTTTAATCTTTGTAATGTTCACGATATGTCTAAAGTCAAAAGTTATAATCACAACGCTTTGTACAGGCTAATTATTTGATTAATACTAAATTCATTGATATTCCATTAATAAAAACTTACTATTTAAAAAATACAATTTGGTTCCTGATTCTAGTAATTTTTTTCAGCTTGCTTTTTAATGATTATAATGTAATAATTAAATTGGTTTAAATTTTAGCAAGATGCTTATATAAATCTTACGCAGTAAAGAGGGCTTGGATGCATGTCTTTAGCTAAAGGATTCACTAAAAATGTATTAGAAAGAGTTAAATGCCTTTATCCAAAGTATTATGTTTAGCTTTTTGATAAATTATATTTATTTATTGTTCATTTTCAATAAAAATATTTTGCTTAAATGCTAAAAAGAAAACTAAACTTACTTAGCTGAATGAATGTTTTCATACTTCTGTTGAGCTAGAACAGTTGCTATGTATATAAAAATATAATATAAAAAATAGGGTATTTTCTGAATTATTTCTTTTTTTCCTTAGATTTTAACATTCATTTTTATGAATAGATTATTATTCTATAAAGCTTAATAAATTTCAAAGATTTGACTAATATTTTATAGTAAAGAGCATTTGTTAAAGTTAGAGATAATTTAGATAATTATAAAAGATAGATCAAATCCACAATTTATTATTATTTGGTAATAAATATTACATTTTGTTTGTAAGCACATAAAAAGAAATGTATATTTAAATGGATAATAAATCTTTTATTTAATAGGTAAATTTATAGGCATATTTCTTATTATTGTAATTAAAAATTCAAGTATTCTGATAAGCTGAATTTTATCTTATATTTTTATATTCAAAAATAATTAAATATGATTATTTTCACCATTCTAATTTATAAATATGAATTTTATTATAAATTTCAAATGCTTTGGGCTTTAATTTAAAAGTAAACTCAACAAACTCTTTTCAAAATTTAAAAAAATAATTTAATTAAAATTTTATTTATTTTTAAATGAAAAATATAATTTTTATAATAATAAAAAAATTTTTTTTTTAATTATTTTAATTTATTAAATCCAAATAATTTGAATAAGGAAAAAAACTTATAACAAAAATTAAGATTTCTAATTATTTATTTATTTATTTATTTATTTATGCATTTATAGATGTATGCTCTTATTGGTGGATTTGATAAATGAGAAACTAAACTTTATTTTTTAATTAAATATATTTTAATCAAACATATTGTTTTAACTAAAAATTTTCACTACTCATCTTGATTATTTATTTTACTGATCACCATTAAATTTACCTAATTCATAAAAAACTCAAATCTCTAATTATTTATTTATGCATATATGCATTAATAATTAAATGTTGGATTTTATAATATGAAAAATTTATTTAATTGAGTAAAATTTAATAAAAAATATTAATTTTAACTAAATAAATGTTGAATTTGCTTAAATAATGTAGATTTATAAAATATTATTTATTAACATTGAAAATTAATTCAATATTTTTTAATGTAATCAGTTAGATTTTCATGTTTTCACTTCTCCTCTTGATTATTTTATTCATCACCATTTATTTGATCTTATTCATAAATATATTCTACTTTTAAATTTTCTAAGCTCCTTTCCGTAATTTGATCTTTTAAATTACTCTTCTATGTAGATTTTCTGTTTTCTTCTTCTAATTCGTCTACTTCATTTAACTAAAATAGATTTTTAGAACCTTAAGAATCCTTTGGCAAGAATAAATTGTTTAAAGGAATGTTGTTTTATTAATTCTTGTTCACAATATTTTTATCATAAGATGCTAGAAGATTTTATTCAAATATATTTTATTTATCATTTGTATTTTTAGAAAGTAAATCCTAACTCATATACTATCCATCATGATGATGCTGATTAGCATTATCCTAATCTTCTTCTTCTTCAACATTATGTACATCATCTTCGTCTTCTTCATCATCATCTTCCTCCTCTTGTTCATCATCATCATTATGATTATTATTACTTTCTTTATTACTCTCATATTAAGGTTATTAATCTTATTCTTAATATGTGCTACTGTTTTCACTGTCATCTTCAGAATTTTTACTATCATTTAACTAGCTTGGTTATTCTTCTTAATAACTATCATCATATTAAGCTACAGAACTTTTTCTAGCAGACAAGACTCTGAAAGATCTGTTTACGATTTATTCATTAATATTTCTAATATCTTCTTCATTAGCTTCGGATCCATTGTCTTGATTTTGATTTTAAGGGTGAGTTCTTTTTTCAGACTTAATTGTCCTTGAGCTCTAATTTAACTTTGTGCTTTACCTTCTAGTAGGTTGAATAAGCTAATCTTCTTACTGTTAATTATTACATTCATCCTCCTCTTCATTCTGGTCATAATTTTGTTAAGTGTATTACTCTATTTCTTCTTTTCTGTGAAAAGTATACTCTCCACTCATATCTTGCTAATCTTCAAATTTACTCAATTTATCTTCAATATAACTTTAATCTTCACAATTCTCTTCTTGTATGACTTAATTCTAATTAATGATATTTTCTCCTCCCTTTTTAAAGTTAAAATTGTTAACAATAAAATTAGGAATGCTTGGATCTCTCTTTAAACTATCTTGTTCCTCAGGCTATTATAAAGTTGGAGCGCGAAGATTTTAGCTACTTTTTGAATCTGTTAAAGCAAGTAAAGCGTCTCTTAGTAATTTTAGCTCTCTTTCCTTCTTTTATCTTTGCTCTATTATCTTACTTAAGTATTAATTCTAGGCTTTATCATTGCATTCAAGACAGACAGATATCAGTTAAGCATGAGAAGAGAAATACTCTTACCATCTATCAACAAATCTCTATTTAAATAGCATTGTATTATTTTAGAGATTATTTTAATTACTTTAATTATGATTCTACTGATCATCATAGTCAATAAAATCATTTGGAGTATCTTAGTACTCATTTTCTGAGTTATCATAATCTTCTCTAAAGGACCGCTAAGGACTTGAAAAATAATCTAGATACTCATTTTAATTTAAAGAGTTGCTATTTTGTTAGTTGTAAGATAACAGTTTTTACTATAGGGAAATGTAAGGATTAACAACTATCCTGTTATTTTCAAATAGTTCTAATACATTTAAAACAATTTTGTAAGTTTTGCATTCTCTTTTATAAAAATCATGAAATAGATCTTCAACACTTTTATTTTTACACTAAACTAAGAGTCCCCAATTAGATTTGCAGTAGCAACAGCTTATCGAGTCTGCTCTTAAAAAATAACCACCAATTAATTGTTAAGCAATTTTTTAAATCCTGCTTCTTCTAAGCCAAATTTTTAATATTTGTGCAAAGGGCTAATCTAGCTGTTGAGCTATCTCCTATTTAGAAGGTTAAACAACATTTTAAAAGACTTCTTTAACTTATATCACCTATTAATTTCCTTAAACTTTAATCTCTCCATAAATATTGCTAAAATTAGTAAGGATAGACTCCCTTAATCTATTATAAAAATTAAATAATGGTTTTTAAAAATGTAGATAAAAAACAATCAGAAAAAAGTAATAAACAAAAGTTTTAATTAATTACCTGAGCAGCTCTTTTTTAGATTCTCCATAAAGCAAATCTTCAAAGAAGAGCTTCATGTTTTTCCTCAACCAAACTTTATTTAACTTTAAGAACTTAGTAAGGAATTTCTAATCTTTGTATTCAATTTCAGTAAAATGAGATTTAATATCTTAATATTTTGCTTTCTTTTCTTTCTCATATACTGCTTTTTTAATGTCTATATTCTTCAGTTTTTTAAACTAGTCATAAGCATCTTTTTATAGCTTGAATCGCTTGAAATTATGGAGGAAAAGCTTATATAGTCTGTCTCTATTAATAAAAAATAATTATAATTAAAAGGAGAGGTTGCTTTTTGAAGACTTAAAATAAATTTACTTATCTTCTTCTTTTTATTAAGAGAACGATAATATAAACTGATGGATACTTATATCATAATCATTAATTTAGTCAATTTATTCTTCAAAGAATAGTCTAAGATACCTATTTTTTTCTAAACTTTCTTTTAATTCTTTCATTTACTCAAATTGGTTATCATCATCATTTGATTATTTTAGTATGGAATAAAATTCATGTTAATCTGATTTTATGGTATTTTAAAGAGTCAGCTACTTAATTTGAAGTTATTGGGGTAGTGTATTTTTTTATTTAGGTTGATTAAGTATGATTTAATTTCTTTCAACTTCATTATTAATAGAGTGACCTAACCTACCTGTTTGAAATTACATGGCAGTGATAATATTATTTTCTTCATTTTGTAACTACTAATCACTTCCCTATTGCATTAAATTGTCTTATGAAAAAATAACTGCCTACTATTATTAATCTAAAACTGTTATTTTTAAAGGTTATTTTTGCTTTTTATTTGTTTGGATCAGCTTAGTGAAAGAATTTTTTAACTAATTCAGCTTAGAAAGATTACTGTTAGGAGAATTTAGCTCAATAATATTTTTGACACTCTTAGCACCTGCACCTGCATCTGATTCAGCTTCATCTTCTTTTTTTACACCCCAAATTCTTTCAAGAAATAAATTGACAATTAAAAAATCATATAAAAAGCAAATTGGTATCCAAAGTATAAAAATTAAAAAAAAGCTTGAAGAATCACTAAAAATGTTGTAGTTATTAACTATAATTGTCAGCACACCTTCGATAACTCCTATTCCCCCTATTTTTCATTAAATTATTTTTTTTTATTAATTATAATAACTTTCTTAAATACCTGCAACAAAAATAAATAGACAAAAGAATTATTAAGAAGAATAGCACCACATGTTAATATTTCTCAACTCACCTTCAATACGTGAATGTAATTCATCTTTTTCTTCTTCGTCAGCCTTCCAAGTAAGAAAACGAGATTTGAATTTTTCAGCTTTCAAAGTAAAGTATTCTCTGACACCAATGTCATGAAATTACTCATTTGTCTTTAAAAACAGCATATCAACCATCATTGTAAACGGGATATTTAAGACATTGAACAAAAAGTAATAAACAATACCTTTTTTATTGATATTCCACTTCACAAACATTTAATTAGCATCATAAAACATCCAAAGGCAAACAACAACAAAAGGCTATATAATTAAAAATAAAAAGTTATTCATAATATGAATAATGATTATTAATTTTGCTTTTAAAATTAATAAAAAATATTTTTATTTATTTATTAAGCTCATTTCAAAAAAATGTTTAGGTTTTTCATATGTGAATTTTGAATAATAATAACAACAAATAAATTAATATTTTTACTGTTGAAATCAAGGTGAAGGTGTTGTTACAGAAATCGGTGAACATTTTTATTGTAATAGTTAATTTCAAGTCTATTTTATTTTCTTATTCTGAATTAGCTTTAGTCTATTATCTAACCATTAAAGTTTATGCCTTTTTAGTAAATTTTTATCTTAGTAATTCTTCAAACGCTAATTCTAAAGAATCTTTTTCATATTATTGTTAATAAATATTGTCTTCTTCATTATCACCATCAGAGTATTAGCTTTGAAGTTTTCTGTTTTAATCATCATTTAGATTATTAGCTATAGGACTGCTTAAATTTTTATGCCCATTCAAAAGCTTAATACTGTTTTATTATTTCAAATTATGCTTTTTATCATCTTATTCATCTAACTTGAAATCTATGAATTAAAAATTCAAAATAAGTTGAGAAAAATTTATAATTAATTATTTATTACCTTAAAAATCAATAGACATCATACTATCTTCGCAGTTTTCAGTCAGGAATATAGAGCTATTTCCTAAATCTTAATTAAAGTTATTTATTAATAAATATCTGCTTTTTAAAATAGCTTACCTTTTTATCCAGTTTCTTGGGATTAGTTATCTTCTTTTTCTTAATTATCATTTAATAAATCATGTTTATTTTTAGATAATTCATCTTCTTCTCCTTCTTACCCTTCATTCTCATTGCTTTCAATCTAAAAAACTCTTTTCAAAAATAAAAAAAACATATTTTATTTTTTTAGTATTAATTGTGCTTTTTATGATCAGTCAGTTCAAATAAATTTTATTTCTAAAAGCTTAATCAATCATAAATAAAATATATGTTACTTTGAAATATAATTCTAAACTTATGGACCATATTCTCCAATACTTTCAACTATAGAGTCTACAACTATAACTTAACTTGTTTTCTCAAAAGTTGAAATACCAAGAGCAACATAAGTATTAAACAAATAATCAAAAAAGTCAATAGCACCTAGACCTGAGATTGAAGTACTCATACCTTATTTTTATAAAATACTTATATATGTTTGGTGCAAAACATAACAGGATTTTACCCATAATGCATGAAATAGAGCTTAAAAGAAGCTCATCTTCGATATATAACTTCAAACACTCTCCGATAAACAACTAAGATGCTTTAAGGATAAAAGTAAAAAACCAGATATTTGCTCCATAATATGTAGAAAAGGAGAGATAAATAACAACAATATATATTATAATGACTAAAATCGTAAGATAAATAAACAATCCTCTGGTCCATATTTTATCCTACCAAATATTTCCATCATGAGATTCTGAAGTAAATAGCTCCACTTTTTCCTCAAGTATTGAAATAGCTTCGAAAAATTTATTCTATTTTTTGCCACTTTAATTGCTTTTATAATTTTTTACAGCATCCCTAATTTTATCTTTCTAGCTAATAGGAATATAAAGAGATGATATTCTAATTATTGCATAAAATCCAATTACTATAAATGTTAATCCTAATCTACCTCTCCTTTTTGACTAAGGGACTTAAGCGGCCTATTTTGATTTTCAAATATTGTATTAACTAACAAATAAATCTTTTTACATATTTAAGTTTAAAATTTATGATAGTAGTAATTATGCTGACTGATTTCATAATATAAATAGATTAGCTATTTAGGCTGAGGGAAAAAATTGAATTAACTAAGTAAAAGATTCTTAATAGTAATAAAACATAGTTTACTTGAATTATTTATTTTTGCATAGCTTTGAAATTTATTTATAAAAATGATAATAAATTAAATTGACATTATGTTTTTAAAATATATTGATTCTAATAGTAATATATTACTCCAAAAGATTCAAATATAGAGGTTTCACATATTCTTTCTGTAGAAAGATCACTGCAATTAAAAAAGGGATTACTCCAAAAACCACCTAGCATCAAAAATGAGATAAAAAACTGCATTATGAAATTCGGAATGAATGCCAGAATTATTCCTAGATATAAGGATTTGTAAAGCTAAAGAAACTCCCACAAATCATAGCATGCTCTTTTTAAGCTTTTGAAAGTAATAAAAAGCTCCTTTTTCTTTTCTACAACTCTTCTGAATACTCTTTATTATAATTAGGTAATTTATTTTATTTTTTTACGTATTTTTTTTATTTTATTAAAAAAGATTTTATTTTATTTTTTCATTTTAAACTGAAAAGGAATTATCAAAATTTGCTGAAAATAATATAATAATTTACATATTTGAAGTTCTATAAAAACAGTAGTAGAAAAAGATCATTATAATACTGAAAGTACCTATAATTGAAGAGAGGATAAAATAAACAGGTAAGTTAAAAGCAAAATTAATAGCAAGCTCAGCATGACCTAAAGAAATGAATTTTAAAATAAATTTATAAGTAAAAGGGGAGCTTTGATCAACATTGCTTTTATTTATCATTTGACCAAAAGTCACTCCTGCTTTTACAATTCTTTTTTTATATTAATCCACTTAATAATATCCAATTTCTAAAGTTATCTCTTTAGGGAGTTTAGTAGATGGAAGAGAACTTTGCAATACTACAGAAATTAAATTTAAAGGGTCAAAATTTACATTATCTATATAAATATCTTGCTAGAAATCAATAGGATCAGCTGTCATTTTAAACAATTCTGTTTAGAAACTCTATTCATAAAATTTAGGATACTGTGTAGAGGAAAAAAAAGCGTCATCCAATATGCATGTAAATTCAACATCTTCACATGTGTCTGATTTTGGATTCTATAAAAAGACAAAAGGATTAACAACTATCGTCTCTTCAGGAGTGTATAATTCACAATTTTTTTCGCTTTCCACTACATCACTTAAAAAAATATACTCCCCATAATTTTAGCAGTTGCTTATAAAAGGAATAAAAGGTACTGTTATTTATTGGAGATTAATCCAAAATTTATCATTGTTAATTAGATAGTTATAAACTCTTTCATCTTCAGTTATATTTAGTGGTTAAATTAATGAACTATTACTTTTATCTTTTGTCAAATCCGAATAAGTAATTATAGTATCAGGGTAAGAGTTATCTGACTTCATAACTGGCATAGCAGGAGGAAGGTTTACAGCTTAATTATTCATTATAACAAATCCAAAAGCTTTGTTTTATCCATAAATGGCTCTTTCAGGAGTTTTTATTGTTAGAGATGAACTTTAAGCCAAAAGAGGTTTTAAATTTGAGAAATATTATAAATTAATTCTTAAATAAAACATTAGAAACATATCTTTTGATGCAAATATTGTAAAGAGATGAGCATCTATTTTCTAAGTAGAATCTCTAGTAAAAATATATGGTAAAGCTATCACATTTCCTTACTGAAAATTTGTATAGTCTTAGCTTGTGTCTATTGTATAAATAACTATCTTTTATTAACAAATCATATAAATTATAAATTATTTTAAATAACTTTAAAGATTTAAGCTAGCTATCATCTTAAATTTTAAAAAATTAATATTTTATTATTTTTAAAATAAAGTTGACTTCATAGTTTTTTGAAGTTACTAAATCATAACTTTGAATTAAAAGTATAAATAAATATGTTATTATTAAATAATAATTCAATTTTTTTATCATTTTTTTTTTGTAACAAAGTTTTGTATTTATTTTATTTTTTTTCTTTTGTAATCATTCAAAAATAAGAATCTAACTAACAAAGTTATGAAGCAAAATTTAAATTTGTATTTAGATTGTAATAGTTAGAAAGATTTATTACTTCCCATCCTTTTTTGTCGCCATAAACAAAGTTTAAATTGTTAGAATTTTTTGTTGTGTAATTTGTAAGATGCCTTAAGTCTATTGATATTTTGACGATACTTTATCTGGGCTTTTATTTTAAGAATTAATAAATGTATTCATATTTAAACTATATTATTAATCTACCACTTAAAATACTGCATCAGCTTCTTCATAAGATGTTTATTACCTATCCTTTTTTATTTAAGTAAATTAAGCACTCATTTATAATTAACAATCTAAAAATAACTATTTTTGGAGGAATATACCTTATTTATAGGGTCAGGATACATGCCTTTTTTTAAAGGATTAACTAAAATAGAAGAGGATGAGTCTTATAATATACGATTTTTGAATGCTCTATGAATTTAATCACTATAATTATTATATAAATTTGTAAAATTTGTTTTTGTCAATTTAGATTTATCTTCTTGTTCGTCATATTAAGTTATTTATTCTTAGATGTCATTTTAGATCTAAGTTAAAATGGCTAGCTAAAAAAGAGTTGTAATGTATATAAATATGTGCCAATTCATTCTATAATAATGTTCTACCCTCTATAATAAATTGTAGTCAGTTTTGAAAAAAAATGGCTATCGCTAAAATTAACAAAAAATATTATTATAAATATAATTACAATTTAATTATTTGTGACACAAATTAACAATTAAAAGAATATATTTATTTTCTAAATTATTTAACTCAAAATCAAAATGAAGAGTTCTAGTACATATTTTATCTAATTTAAAATATTACATTTACATTAAACTTCTACAGAGAATTAGTATTATGAGTTAAAAACTCAAATTACGAATAATTATAAAAAATTTATTAAATCGAAAGTATCATGAAATTATGCCAATTATTATCTAGAAAATCATCATTTTTTGATTTTATAAAGAAATATCAAATATAAAATTTTTTGAACACATTTATTAATATAAAAAAACCAGTAAAAAAAGGTAAAAAAAATAGAACTAATTTTAAAAATAAAATTGATATATTAATAAAATCTATAATAATATTTTAGTGTAATTTATTGTTTTTTAGGTGAAATCCTGCTAGCTCTCATCTTAAAATACTCATTAATCATACTTAAGAGTTGGAAATTTGATGAAAATTAATGATTAATGGATGATTTATTGTAATTTAAATTTTAAATTTTTGAAAAGTAAATGCAACATTGAAAATATTGAAAATGTAATATTAATAACAATTCAATAGATTTCAACATACATTTCTTAGTTTTGAAGCAAAAAAAAAATAAATTTTAATTATTTGAGTTCAAGTTTAAAAAATAAATGTATTTTTACATCCAAATTTACAAAATAAAATGTGTTTTAAATATTAAAAAAATACAAATTATTTTTTATTTTACTTAACTTATTTAGCAAAAATTATTTTTTAATTTAATAAAAACCATTTTTTTATTTTTAATTAAATATTTTGATTCCTATTTCATTTAAAATTGAATTAATTAATCAAGAATTTTGATTGCTTTACTCATCTATTTAATTTAAATTCTATTAATCAATTTTATTTTCTTCATATTTAGAATTATTTTGAATGTCTCTTTCAAAATTTATTTTTTTGTTTTCTTGTATTAGCTTTTATGATAAACTTAGAAAAGGAAATTAGCCTTCTGTTGTTGGTATATTTATCAATTTATGGCTTTAATTAGTAGAAAATTTTCTTAATTGTACATTTTTTCCAGTATTAGGGTATAAAAAGTATTGATTCATTTCAGCTTAGCTCATTCTCGATAAATTTTTTTCTTACTTATTTAGTTCTAAATGAAAACTTTCAGAGCTTATAGGATGAGTTTTAGACTCATACGATTTAAAACTCTTCTTGCTTTTTCTTGATTTTTCTGTAAGCTGAATTATTTTTTAGGGATCAATATTGCTATTACTGCTACTACAACTGCTATCACTACTAATATCATCACAGTCGTTATGTGTATAAATTTTACTTTCTTTTTTACTATTAAAATCTTTTTATTAGTCTTTATCAATACTAATATCATTAGATTTAAAAATAGTTTATTTTTTACACTATTCAGTTTTGTTCATTTATTCACTAAGTTCACTTGAATCACTCGAATCGCTGCTACTCTCTTATTCTTCCTAAAAAACAGTTACTTTTTAATCTTTAGTAAATCTTTATGATATATTTTCAGTAAGATAATCATTTTCATAAGTAACTTCATTATTTATTGATGAAAGTTGATTTTAAAGTTCAAGTTAATAGATAGATTTACTAGGTGGAGAATTTGAATATAGAGGTGATTTTTATTTATCAAGTAAGAGCTCATTATCTTCATCATCTATTAAATTATCTTATGAATTTAATTTTTGTTATCTGTGTTATGAAAAACTTGAGGTTTTTAAAGGGGTATTTCTAGTAAAAACTGAACATTCTTCTACTTGCTCTTGCTCTTATGATTATTCTTTGTTTATTTTTCTATATTCAATATCTTATAACTAAGTAACATCATTGTCTTCCTTTTACTTTTCTAACTTTTCTTCATCCTCTTCTTAATTTTCTTCATGTATTACATCTGCATACTAATTTATACTTTTTGTCTAGAAAAATGTATTCTAATCTCCTTATTTTTAAATCTCTTCTTCGACTTCATTTGAATTATCAAATTCATCTTATTCATCTAATTTAGAGAGATCATTTTATTTCTAATACAAATCCTTCAGCTGCTTTTTAATGAGATCTTGTTGCTGTTTTAGTACCTACTAAGGTTTTCTCTTATATTCTTATATATTTTTTAAGAACTAGTCTTAGGCCATATCATTGCATTTTAGACAAATAGTCTAAAATGTTGTATTCAAAAAGAAAAATTCTTGCCATCTTTCAATGAATCTTTTTCTATTAAAAGTTTTCTTATGTTAATTCACTCTAATATCACTAGATATATCTTAGACATAAAATTGTTTGAGAAGATTTTCTTTTAAATTTTCTTTTAATACAGAAGTATATTCTTTACCTTGTTTATTTTACAAGGAGTTAAAATTATCTTCTTTCGAATTCTCCCAGTTTTGAAGAAGATCTTCATGGTAAATATCTTCTTCTAAAAACTTTGTATTTAAAAAGAAAATTTTATTTGAAATTTTAATCTTCTTTAAATCTTTTTCATATCCTTTGGTATCTAAAATTAAAGAGTCTTATTCGTACAAAGTTTTTACGTTAAAATATGCTTTTAAAAAGCTGCATTCATACTTGTAATATAAATTAAAAGTATCTTCAATATTTTCTTTTGCCTAAACAAGTAATCCCCACTAGTTCCAACAGTATTCACAATAACTATTTTAAGATTTTAGCATAAAACCTCCTATACACTACTCAGCGATTTAAAGTATTTAGCTTCTCATTTTCCAGTATTTTATAATACCTTGAATATATGTGCCTTATATTTATTGAGACACTTTTTAAGAAAGAATTCTTCCTTGGACAGGCTAGACCTATATTGAAGAAGATATAACTGTAGCTTCTTTTAAATTCCCCCCTATAATCTTAAATTACTCAATTATTTCATTTCTTAACCTAATCATTTTATACAATAATATAAAATTTACCTTAAAGAAATTAATTATAAATATTAGAAAAATGTATTTTGAATAATTATTGATCAAAAAAAATAAAATTTAATCAATTTATTTTAATTTTTGATGAGAATAAATTATTTTTTTCATATAATTAAAATAAAGAAATTAATTATTTATTATCAATAGATAAATTAAATAAGGTTTTAAGAGGAAATTTAATAAGCCTTCTCTTATTCAATAATTTCAGAGGGTTTTTGGGAAGTGCTGCTAAAAAATTAGTTAATTTCTAAACTAATTGAGGTGGATGAGATAAAAAGTATAAAAAAAATCAATTTAAAATAAAGACAAAGTTTTAAAAAATTAATTTTTGTCAGTAAAAGTTGTGATATTGTTGCTATAAGATTTTTGTATTAATTACCTTGATTAATCTTCTGTAGATGAAGAAGGCCCTCTTATTATATCATATGCCATATTTTTAATATTTTTTTTTAGCCAAGTCTTATTTATGATAAGAAATTTTTTTAAAAACTTTTCATCTTGGTATTCATTTTTTAAGAAACGAATTTTTTTCTCTAGAATCTTCTATTTTTTTTCTTTATAATGGTATGCCTTTTAGAAATTAGAGCTAAAAGAGAGCCATTGTTATTATATTTACTTATTACTCAGCTAATTTTTTGCTCTTTTAATGAATTCTTCTATTTTTTCTTGAATGGTTGCACTGTATTTTTATTAAAAATATATTTTACATTTTGGTTAATTTAGATATTTTATCTTACTGAAATTTATTTTAACAAGATAAATGATCATGAATAAAATTTTAAACTGAAATATCATATTGTTCTACATTTTAGATCTCCTCTTTCAAATACAGTTAAATGTAGTAATTATTTTTAATAAATTTAGCTTATTCTTTGAAAATAAATTCTTGATTTCTCTTTTGCATTTAGTCCTCCTATTCTTAGTTTTGTTAAGTTTAATTATTTTAAAATTGGACTCTTTACAAAATGGTTTCAGTTAATTTTTTTTCAATGATATTTTATTGATATAAATTATTTGAAAATAAAGATTATCTTGATGCATTCAAAGAGTTCAACTAAAAACCTGAGTTAAATAATTCATTTCTTACTCCTAACATGTTGACATTTGTAATATCTTAGAAATGAGTTGCTTTTGATATATTTTTTAAAAATCTATTTTGTTTGATAGATTCTTTATTTTGTACAATAGAATCATAATTTTAAGGCTAAATAATAGGTGAACAATCTAAATCTAGTTCTTACAATTATGTATTACATTTATTTTCTATTATATTTATATTATTTATTTTTGCAAGTAATTCTGTGGCATTTTTTTCTTTTGAAATTATTTTCTCCTTCTCATCTTCTTAATTACTTTCACTACTTGCTTTCTTCCATAAAGATGTATGATTATAAAAAAAGTAGCAAACTTATTCTATAAGAAAGCATAACAATACCCAAAAAATTAGTAGGAAAACTAAAGTTTTATCTGCAAATAAATTAAATTTATTTATCTGGATAGTTTGTACACCTTATAACACGCAAATCATTCCTTGAATTTTAAAATGAAATGTTAAATAATTAGTTTAATATAAAAAAATAATTAAAATTAAAGCAATTTATCAAATACCTGAAACAAATACACTTAAGCAAAAGAAGTACTGGGAAGAAAAACACCAGACATCAATTTTTTGTAAAGTTGGCTCCAAGCACTTTAAAGCATCAGTAGTATCATCAGCTTTCCAATTGAATTTTCTGTTTTTAAATCTTTCTCTACACAAGTTAACGTACTCTTTTATAGAAACTTAGTGGATTTGCTCAACGGACTTGAGGAGAAGTATATCAACAAAGATTTAAAAAGGGATATTCCAAACATTGAAAAGGTAGTAAAATACTAAGCCTTCTTTCGATATTACCCATCTCACAAACATCTTATTCGAGTCATAAAATATCCATAGAGCTATTACCTAAAATGGCTTGTTTTATTGATTAAATAAAAAATTTTAATTTAAATTAGTTAAATAAATAAATAAATTAATTTATATACTGTTGCTAACACAGTGAATGTATTATAACAAAAATCAGAAAAAATCTTATTTTATTTAAATCTGAGCTCTTCTTCTTCTTTTTTGTTTTCTTTTTCTAAATCTTCTTAATGATTTTTATTATTTTATTTTTTAAAACCTTTCATGAATTTCTTATCAAAGACACTTTAAAAAGTATCCTCAAACTAATCTTCATCAACTAAATATTTGCTTTGAAAGCTTTAATCCATTTAACATTAACTCATATCTCCCAAACTTTCTTTGGAGTACTATTTTTCTCTTTATATATTTTCTTATTCCAATACCTATTATTAGAAATCCGTTATATTTTCCTACTAAATTTCTTTTAAAATAATAGTTTTTAATTTAATTTTTTTTCATTAATAAATCATAAAAAAGTGAATTCTAAAAATATAACAGGCTAAATATTCTAAAATATTATTAAATCAAATTGGAAAATAAACAAAAAATATATTTTCATAGTTGTCATTATATTAGAAAATAAATTAAAAATAATAAATTTGGAAAATAAAGAAAAAACAGTAATCTCATAACAATTATATGATTTCCTGCACATAAAAGCAAAGATTAAAAATTTACAGAATATAAAAAAGCTTTTTGAAAAAACATTTTAATTAAAGAACTTACTTATATCATCATTTGTTCCAAAACTCTCTTGGTAATTTTCAGTCAACATAATTTCACTATTTACTTAATTTTAAATATCCAAATTTAAAATTATGGTTATTAATAGATTAAAAATTACCAAAAAAATCTTTTCCTTTCTTATGGTTATCTTATTCGATTATTTCATTATCTTCACCTTTTTAATTATTTTATAATTCCAAGCTTGACTCAACGTCATCATCTAGACTCTCTTGTTCATCTTAAGGTGAAAATTGTCTTTTGTATTTCACAATTTTAATAATTAATAAAGATAAAATGAAAATGTGAATTTAATTTACTTATCTAACCACTTCTTAAAGCGAGCCACCATTTTAAATGTATTTTAAGAACAAAACTCAACAAGTAGGACTTAAATAGTCTTTTCATAAGTAGAAATACCAAGATTCACAAATGTATTAAATAAGTACTCAAAAAAATCTGGTGCTCCTAATCCTGAAATTGAATTGTTCATCACTTTTATGTTTTAAATATTTTAGCTAAAAAAATAATTCAGTAAAAAAGTTTTTACACATAGTGCAGGCAAGAGTTCCCAACTAAAGCTCATTCTCGACATAAATCTTGGTGCACTCTAAAACAAAAATTTGATTGATTTTAAACAAGAAAATAAAAAACCAAATGTTGGTAGCGAATAAAAGGGAAAAAGACAGAGTGATAATCACATTAACTATTATTAATATCCACATAATCAAAAACAAATAAATAGCCCTTTTCCATACTTTTTCTCTCCATATATTTCCATCATAAGACTGAGTCATAAAAATATTTAATCTATCTGAGAGATGATCTAATATGGTCAATAAATTATATTACTTATTTTAATGTCTTTGAGTATAGTTTTTTATTTAATGATAAACTCTTTCTTCTGTTGTTTCTGGGACAAACACAATAGAAATTCTTATGAGTAGATAAAACCCAATAATAACTAGGGAAGCACCTAGTCTGCCTCTTCTTTAATATTAATCTATTTCATGGCCCTAAAAATAATTAATTAAAGAATTCTCAAATAAGAATTAAACTTAATTAATTAATTACAAAGTATTTCTCAAAAACAGAGTTCTCACAAATATAATCGTCTGTCAAACTTTTACATCCAAAAAATGGGATACTCCAGAATCCTCCTAACATGACTACAGAAACAATAAATAGCAAAGTAAAATAAGGAATTATTGATATAACTATGCCTTATATAAAGGGGACGTAAAGAGAAAGAAAAAATCTAAGCTCAACAAAAATTTCTTTTAATCTATTTACAGAAATCAGAAAGTTTTTAGAGTCTGTGATAACTTTCCTTCTTACGATGCTTATTTTACAAAATTTATTTTTAACACGAAAAACTCTAAAATCGAATTTTACAAATTAGCTGTCTTCCAATAGAGAAAGTATAAAAATATAAAGATTACACAGAAGGTTCCTATGATAGATGAAAGTACCAAGTAAGTTGACCATTTTAAAGCAAAAGTTATAGCTAACTCTGCATGATTCATTGAATGAAAATTGAAAATTAATTTATATTAAAATTGATCTTAATTATGTAATGTAGTGATGTCTACAGAGCTTCCAAATTTTATTTCTGCTTCTATAATCTTTTTCGTGTATTTATCTACTTAATAGTAGCTCAGTTTGAGCTCTATAGAAGTTGGTAAATGTCCTTAAGGTATTTAGTTACTAGCAATAATTGGAATTAATTCCTCAGGTTTAAAAATCAAATTATTCTCTGTGACTTCATTCAGATCAATTGGGTTAGTAACTACGTAAAATAAATTAGTTAAAATTGGCTGTTCGTATAATTTAGGTAATGCGTTAGAAGAAACAAATGCTTCATCCATAATGCATTCTATTTCTACCTCGCATTTATCTGACACAGGTGCTGTTTAAAATCCTAATTGTTTAACAGGTTTAGTTTCTTATGGAGTTACTAAATCACATATACTTCCATCCTCTATAATATCATGAAGATACATAAATTATCCATAATTTTTGCAGTTTGAGAAATAAGGGATATAAGGAATGGTTAACTGCTGCATATTTACCCAAAATCTATCATTATTTACATATGAACTGTAAATACTTTCCTGCGTTATGTTTTATGGGAAAAGAGAATCCGAGGAATTAGCCGTTGAATAAGAAATTATAACATTAGGATAGTTCTAAGTATTAGCAGTCATGTTTGGTAAATTAAGTGGTAAGTTAACTATTCCTTCGTTTTAAAGAACAAAAGCAAAAATCTTATTCTAATTGTAAATAGACCTATATGGGGTTTTAATATTAAAAGTAACCGTTTAAAAAAATAAAGTTCGAAAGCTTGAGAAAGTAGAGTTTAAGATCCTTATAAAAACCATAACATTTAAGTCATAATATGCAAATAAATTAAACTTATGGCTATCTTCCTTAATAATATTATCATTTTCGAATGTTTCAGGAAGAACGATTATATAATCATCTATTTAATTTCTCCATGAATCCAAATAAAATGTATTATTGACAGCAATAGCAATCTATAAAAATTAGAAAAGTAGTAGTTAATAAATTAAAATATAATATTATTATTGAAAGTATTGAAAATGAATAAATTTTTTATGCAATTAGAAGCTGTTTTAGCTCATTAGTATCTATTTTTATCTTTAATAAAAATTAGCAATGTTTTAAAAAGTAGCACAATGTAATTGAATAAGATATTTGTTACTTAACAACTATTAAAAATAATTTTAAATTCTTACATCCCAATCTCTATTATATTTGAATTCTAAACTATCTTACAAGTCATAAATATGTCTCAAATCAAATGTTATATCAAAGCTACTAGATTGATTCTTATTTTAATTTAATATTTAAAAGCAATTTTAAAAATCCATTTTTGAAACAAACAAAATCAAAACAATATATATGTATGTACTTACCACTTATATTATAGTAATGGGCTCTTCAAAATCAAATAATCTTTCATCCTAGTATTTATAGAGTATTTATTTTATAAAATCAATTTTTCTTGAAAATTATGCTTTTTTTGCTTACTTAAAAAAGAGGTTCAGGATACATTTCTTTTTTTAATGGTGTTACATATAAAATCTCATCTGTCTACAATTATTAGCTTCCTTGGAGTGATCTTTTTATTTTAAAATTTTGTGAATCATCATCACTATGAATCTAATTTGTTTAATTCATAAAGTAATTTATGCTTAGCTTAATAGAGTCATCAAGAATTAATTACATTTTATGATTTAAAGGTCTTTGGCATGATCAAATTCAATTAGAAATAAAAAATAAAGGCCAAAAACAAAAATTTGATCATTTTAATAGTGAATTATAATTATATTGATTCAAATTGTTAGATTTGTTAATTATTTCTACTTTGTTGATTTTGTTTATTAAATTTTTTCAATCTAATTACTCACTTTCTTTGATTAAAAAACTGATTAATTTGAATAACTTATAAAAGCTTTAATATATTAATTAATTAATTAAAAACTATGTTGTTTAATTATATTTAATGTTTTTTTACTGAAACTAATTTTAATAAACGAATCTACAAATTATTTATTGAATATTTCAATTAATTCAAAAAAAACAAGTAATTTAAAAAATCCACATTTTTACAATCATTAAAATCATTTTTTTTTAATCCAAAAAATAAATAACAAATTTCTATCCATTTTTTTAATTAAAATTAACTGTAAATATAAATGATTTTTCAAATTATGAATTAAATTATCAAAAAAAAATAGAGTTAATACTGTAAAAATTTAATTAAATTTTTTTATTATTAAGAATTTAAAATAATTTGTTGAATATCCAAAAACTTATTTATTTAAAGTTAAACATCAGTTTTCTTTATTTTTGGATTACTTATTATATGAAATATTACTAGAATAATTTAATACTTCTTCTATGTATTAATTTTAACTGCTAATTGCTTGTTAGTAATCCTATGAAATATTTCTTGCACTTTAGAAGAAAAAATCTTCAGTTTAAGCATTTTCAGTTTTTTAAATAGTTATATTGTTAAAATAATTACTCTATTAAATATTATTAAAGTTTATTATTTTTTTCTATTAACTCATAATTTAATTTAAATTTGATGGATTTTCAATGAAATTATTTAAGTTAGAAGCATCGATTTCATTATTAGATGTAATTAAGGTATTACTTGATTTTTATAATTTATACTCTCCTAATATTTTTTGGGGATCTAATAATTAAATATGCTCTTTATCTTTATTGTTATTTATATTATTATTATTATCTCTTTAAACTGAATTATTAATTTAACTATGAGATTTTATTAACTATTCTGAAGTTAAAGGATGAGTTTTGGATTCATGTGACTTGAAACTTTTATTGCTTTTTAGATGAATCGATTTCTTTCTTTATAATTTGCTATCATTTTGTTGTCGAGACTCTGAATCACTGCTGTTCTCGCTGCTACTATTTTCACTACTATTACTGCTACTGCTGTTGCTTTTGTGGTTAAAAGATTTTTCACCTGAATTTTATGATTTATTATGGATTTCTTTACTGCTATTTTTAGCATTTAAAAAAAGGCTACCTCTATTAGTTTGGAGAGATTTTTGATTTTATTGAATATCTTAAGATTCTCTTTAAGTATGAGATTAACACTCATCTTTATTTTTATTCTATTAATCGAATCCAATATTTTAAAGCTTTATTAATTAAAGACTTTGATAATGTTTTGGAGAAAATGAAGAGACATTGTCAACTTTATTTGAAGAAGCTGAATCAGCCTTTTCTCTTATATTAAATAGAGATGTCCTCTAAGGTTTACTAGAGAAGGATTTTACTCTCATAGTTAAGTTATTGTAATAGCCTGTATCATCTTCCTCATCTTCTTTAACTTCATTTACGACTTCGTTAATAACTCTCTCACAAAAGTCTTCTTCTATTATCGTTGTTCCTTTCAATTTTTTCTAATCTTTTTTCTTCCAGCTATTTTATTTGTAATTAGAGCCAAATTCTTCAATTTTTTCATACTCGATATCTTTTTTATCTTATTCTTCAAGCTCGTGTAAAATATTATTGTCATTTATTTCATTAAGTTTCACTAAATGCTATTAATACTATTTTAATAAAAGATCTTCTTATTCTTTAATTTTCCTTTCTCTTTAAACTTAATAAATAAATTGCTCCATAGCTTCCTCATTGCATTAGAAGCAGACACTGACAAAAGTTGCATTCTTAAAAAAGAACTCTTACCATCTTTCAATAAATTTTTTTTTGTTCATTATTTGAGATAGCTTTTCTTTACTTAAATTTTAGTGCTCAACAAAGAAGGCAGTTTATTTAGAATTTTTCCTTCTTTATTAATAAGAATTTATTTCTTATTAAGAAGATAATTATATCTATTAATCATCATACGATTTGTCATTATTATAGGTGTCATCAAAATCTTTTGAGTTATCTAAAATATTATTTTCATTACTCTCATTAAAGTCTTCTTGAAACATAGGATCTTAAAATTTTATGAATTTTAGAGATTTCAATGTGTTACATCTTTCTTTATCTCTTTTATAGGTGTTTTTATCAATAACTAAACAATCTTTTTCAAACAACTAAACAACATTAAAGTAAAATTTTATTCTTCTGCACTCATTTTTATAAAAAATGTTAAAGAGATCTTCCACATTTTCCTTTGTTTACACTTATAATCCCCAATTCTTATTACAATACTCACAATTTTATGAATTATTAGTTTTTAGCAAATATCCACCAACTACATTTTAAGCAATTTATAAATTAGTTGATCTTTATCTCCAATATCTTAAAATATAGTGTACATAAGTTCCAATATACTTTTAAGCTTCCTATTTAGTTATTTAATCCTAAACTATAGATTTTACTTAATTATCTGAACCTTATTTTATATCTCCATATATTTGATTAAAACCTTCTAAAATATGATTTCTCAGTCTTTAAATTAAAAAAAATTGAATAAATAAATGAACTTTTAAAAGGAAAATATTTTAATTTAATACAATGGAAGCTAGGATTGAGACACTCCTTTTATTAGGTCATCAAACATAATATTAATATTTTTTCTTATCCAAATTTAATTTCTTTTAATAAATTTTTGAAGAAACTTTTCATCTTTGTATTCGTGATTTAAAAGGTGAATTTTCTTTTCTGATAACTTTTGAACACGCTCTTTGTATTTCTTAACTTTTTTGAAATTTTTTTTGTAAGATTCCCACTAAAATCTTTTTTAATCACTATTTTGAGAGTATTTAAATTTCTGTATTACTAAATTTGTCAAATCAGCCAAAGGACTTCTAAAATATAAATTTTAATTTATTAATTAAACAAATTTTAAATATTAAAAATACGTTTGCATTTTTTATTCTGAGAGATTTTCTAAGATAAAGGAATGGACTAGAATACTTTGCTCATAAGCATTTTCTACCTCTCTGTCAAGATACATTTTTAAATATATATTTTTATTAATCTCTTTAGCCGTTTCTTTAAAGAAATCTTCGTATTCAAGTTCTTCATCATATAAATTTTGTTCATATCTTTTAAAAAACTTTTAAATTGTAGGATTACTGTTAATAGTGTTCTTGTTAAATGTAGAAAATTTTCTTGTATATTGATTAGCTAGGATTGATTATTTAGTTTGGAATTAAGATTAACTTAAAACGCCTTAATTAAAAGTGAACAGTCTATCATCACTTTTTTTGTTAAAATTTTCTCTTGATGAAGTCTACCTTGCGAACTAAAATGGGCTTTTTTAAGCAAAAAAAGTATTTTGGTATTTCAATTTATTTGGATCAATATTTGATAGAATTTGATTTGGTGTCATAGGCTCTTTATTTGAATTAACCTGCAAAGGCGATAAATCCATTTCAATTTTTTCTTACCTTCTAAAAGTATTTTGATTATGTAATTATCTAGTTATGTTCGGGGAATTAAAATTTTAAATTGATAAAATCTATTCATGTGCTTATTATTTTAAACTTATTTCTTCTTCAGTTTTAGGTATCTTTTTTGTAAATTTTTAATCTTTCTTCCATATTTATGAATGTTCATAAAAAAAAAAGCATAGTCTTTCAACTAAAAAGCAAAATACCACCCATATTATGATTATAATAGTAAGCTTTTAATCTCCTAAAAAATTATATTGATTATTTATTATTGTAATTGCACCTTAAACAATGCTTATAGAACCTTTAATTAAAATAAAAAAAATAAATCAATAGCTTAAATAGAAACATTTTAAATATCTTAGAGTTACCAGCCAAGAATATACAGTAACAAAAGAAAAGCTAAGAGGAAAAGCACCAAGCATCAATATATTAGTATTCTTTTTCAAGGTAGTTTAAGGCATCAGAGGTATCATCTGCTTTCCAGTTAAATTTTCTATTTATATATCTTTCTTTTACTGATTTTACATAATCTTTAATACAAACCCCGTGATATTATTCAACAGTTTTGATGAAAAGAATATCTACACATATTTGAAAAGGGATAGCAAATATAGAGAAAAGAAAATAAAATACAAGACCTTCTTTTGTGATATTCCACTTAGTAAATATTTAATTAGAATCATAAAACAACCAAAGAAAAGCTGTTTGAATGGGCTTATTTATTTATTTATTAAAAATATTTTAATAGCAAAATTCTTAAAGTAAGAAAGAAAGAAATTTAGTTTTAATTTACAAGTTCTAAGATATTCAGAGATTTGTAGCAAAAGTCTGTGAAAACTTTAACTTACTTGTTTTTTTCTTCTTTTTCTAAATTTTTTTGTTTTTAAGTTTGCTAATCCTCGTCTTCTGTTAAGCTTTCTTATCTTTCTTTCCTTTTATAATTTTTCATAAACTTTTTATCGAAAATGTGCTAAAATAAGATCTCAAACTAATCCTATAATTGATCACTATTACACTCCACACTATTGCTGCTATAACTTCTTACTTTAGATGTTAATTATTATTATTTATTGATCTCAATTAACTTATCTTGATAAACATCACCAATTGAGTTTATTATTTACAAGCTTTGCCTTTTTACTTCAACTGTTTCAGCTTCTATATTTTAAATTTTGGTAAATAAATTTAACTAATCTTTGTTTTAATTTTTATTTATAAATTTTTTAAATAATTAAACCACAAAAAATAATTTAACAAATAGTTTACCATCATCTTCAATGGAACCAAAACTCTCCTCATAAATCTCTGTTAGGACAATTTCACTAATATCTAAAAAAAAAGGGTTATACAAATAAAATAAAATAAAATAATGAATATACCATCTCTTATATTTTCCTATTTCTTAAAATGAAATTCTTCTTTTTCTTATTAACTATTTATATCATTTGTTTCATCTTCTTCATCATTTTCTTCTGTTTCTTCATTATCATTTGTGATAAATTGTCTGAAGAAAAATAAATAATTATTATTTTTTTGATATTTCAAATAGTTCAATTATTTACTTCTCTATCCATTTATTCAATATTTTTGATGCTTTGAATAAACTTCGAGATATTTATTTTACTATCAACACTTAACTCACTTTTTCGAAACACATAATTCCAAGAGCAACGAAAACATTTACTAGATAAGCAAAGTAATTTTCTGCTCCTAATCCAGATATTGTGTTTATCATAGCTTTTTTTTAAAAATGAATGATAATATATTGAATTAATCTTTTGATAATTTACTCATAACACAACTTAAACTCCCTAGCAAGAGCTCATTTTCTACATAAACTTTGAGACCCTCTTCAATAATAATTTATGTTATTTTGAGTATAAATATAAACATCCAAATATTTGTAGCATAGTAAACAGAGAAAGATAGGTATAAAATAATAACCATTAAAACTAGTACCAGTATTGTTATAAATATAAACAATCCTCTGCTCCAAACTTTATCTCTCCATATATTTCCATCATAAGATTCGCTTTTCAAAAGCTTAGGCTCATCTGAAAGAAATTTTAATATCGAAATTATATTGTATCGAAATTCAGGATTTTTCTTTGTGAATTTAGTAACCTCTTCTTATATTTTATCTTCTTATGTATCTGGAATAAAAACTATTGCCATTCTAACACATATGTAAAATCCAATAACAACTAAACTTATTCCTAGCCTACCTCTTCTTGTTTCCTGTGCAATATTTTCTTACTTTTTATTTATTTTGATAAATATTACAAATCTATTTATTTCCCATCAACAAATGATAAAATTTACAAATAAAATTTCAAAAAGAGAATTCTCGCATAAATAATCATCAGTTAAACTACTGCAGCCAATAATAGTGTATCCCCAAAAAGTCCCAATCATCAAGACAGATAAAATAGTGAATAATATTATTTTAGGGAAAAATGATATAACTATTCCCTTTATTATTGGCGGGTAAAGTGTTAAATGATAATAAACTTCTTGAAATAATTCTTTCAATCCATGAAAAGAAAGAAAGAAATAATTTGACGAGGTCTTTATTTTTCTTCTTGTTAAACTTTTTTTTATTTAAAAAATAATCATTTTAAGCTTAATAAAAATACCTTATCATTAATGTTAATTAATTGGTTGATTATTTTAAAATTTATAAATAAGATTTTATTGATTTAATTTTGATAAATTGATTAAATTTTTTTAGTATTTACAAATTTCCAATCTTGTAGAAGGCAAAATATATACAAATCATTGCAATACTGAATAAACCTATTATGCAAGAAAGAATCAAGTAGATAGGATAATCTAAGGCAAAAGCAATAGCTAATTCAGCATGGCTCATAGAATGGAATGAAAAACGCAATTCATATGTGAAATTAGATTATTAAGATAGTGTCTCTTTATTTATAAGAGACTTAAACTCCATTTCACATTTGATTATCTTTTTATGGTATTTATCAACTTAGTAATAATTAATAGCGAGCTCAATACTTGCTGGTAGATAATTTGCAGGAACTTAATTTAAAGAAACAACCGGGATTAATTCACTCTTTTTGAACGAAAGCCCATCAACAGAGATATCTTAAATGTCAACAGGATTAGCAGACATATAAAATAGATTAGTATTTTTTGGTAATTAGTATAACTTTGGAAGGGCATTAGAAGAATAAAATGCATCATCCATTATGCATTCAAATTTTAAATCTTCACATTAATCAGAAACAGGTTCCTATTAAAAACTAATTTATTTAATAGGCTCAGTATCCTTTGGGTCAACAAGATGGCATAACTCATGGTTTTCTATAATTTAATGAAGATAAATGAATTATCCATAATTTTTACAATTAGTAAAATAGGGCAGGTAAGGTATAACCAGTTAATGCAAGTTCTTCCAATATCTATCATTATTTATGTAATATGTATATGCTGAAGATTGAGTCAGGTTTATTGGATGATTATGCTAAGAAGGATTTGCAGTAGTGTATGAAACTATGCTTAAAGGATAATCTTAATTCGGATTGACCATTTCAGGTAAATTTAAAGGTAAATTTACAGGAGAATTACTCCACAATATGAAAGGAAATATCAGTCCACTTTTCATAGAAGCTCGATATGGAGTTTAGATATGAACACTTGTGGTTTAAATAAATAAAGAACTTAAAGAACTGAATTTTATTTTAAGAATTCTTATGAATATCATGAGATGCATATCCTCATAAGCAAATAAAACAAATTTATGACTATCTGTTTTTTAATTCGTGCTGTTTAAAAATGATTCAGGTAGATCAATTTTATTTGATTCAAAGTCCTGTGTCCAATTACCTAAAGTGAAACTCTAGCTTGTAGAAATCGCAATCTGTTGGCAATATTATTTATTAATTAATATATTTATTGTATCTGTATATTCTATCTTTAAATTAATTTTAATTGGATATAAACAAAATTAGTAATTTAGTTATTAAGTTAGTCATTTAGTTAGTTAATTGGGTATTATCAATTTTATTTATTTATTTATCTATCTATTTCATTTTTGAATTTTAGGTTTTTAAAATATTATTTCCTGCATCAATCAATTCTTCTTAAGCAAAAAATGAATAAAAATATTTTAATATTTATATAAAATAAGTAAGTGATTCAAACAAAAAAAATTAATTTTAGTATTTTCAAATAATTACATCCCAGTCTTTGCCATAGCTAAAGCTTATAGACTTTTATATTTGATTTTAGACATGCCTTAAATCGAAAATGATATCAACAGTGCTTGATTTTGGCTGTTTGCATTAGAAAAATCAATTTTGATGTTAAAATATGATAAATATTTTCTTACCACCATAAATATTGTTGTAGGCTCTTCTGATCCTTTTTATATTGTATCCTTTTGTGAATGAAAGAAAATTAAAAGACAATCTTAAAGGCATAATGAAAAATGAATTTTGTTAATTATTATTATTTCAAAAATACATGAATAAAGTTACTTATTAAAAAGGTTCTGGGTACATTTCTTTTTTAAGTGGATTTACATAAACTATAGAATTTAATTCATCTTATAACAGCATTCTGCTGTAGTTGTTTTTTTAATAATTTTCATTTTTTGTGCATTTATTATACATAATTTGTTATTCATTTTTATTAAATATTAGATAAGGTTAACTAAGGTTATTATATTAGCATTCAGCATGGCAAGTAAAAATAAAAAATGCTATTAAGTAATTAAGGAGGCTTTTTAGAAAAACTGATTATTTATCAAATTTCTTACTACGATTTTATTTATCCATATTTATTTAGTATAATACAATCAATATTTTATTAATATATCCTTTAATTTACCAAAATATCTATAATAACTTCTACAAACTCAAATAGTAAAGTCCCAATCAATATTTTTCCAATTATAAAAAACATTGAAAAAAAAGTAATTAATTAATTTTTACATGTTTTTTAGTTCTTCTATAATTTATGTACACATGAATTTGAGAAATGCATATTACATATATTATTAAATTACATTTAATGGTAAATACTTAATTTAATAAATTATTTTTTTTAAATTTATTATGTCATTTTTTAGTTAGAAATGTGTTTGTTTAAAATCTCAAAATTCGAATGATTTTATTTTTTAAGCATATTTTAATATTAATATTCAATAATTAAAATCAAATTATGAATTTGAATATTTGTATACAAAGAATTTAATTTAAATATGTTTTTATGAAATATCAATTCAAAGCTTTATAAAATTGATTATAAAACAAAGAAGTTTATCACAATCATATAACATTCTTAAATTTTAAGATAAATAAAAGAAATTTTTTTAATTCAATTTTTTTTTATTAAAAAAATAAGTAAGGAATAAAATTATTTACAAAAATCACAGAATATTTCTAATTGTTAATTAGAATGAGAATATTAAAATATTTTGAAATGTTCTAAATATTCTAAATTTTAAAATCATTTTTTGATTAAAATATTTTAAAATATATTCTGTTTAGATTGTTCGTTATGAAAGATTCTATTATAAATTTATTTATAATACTAATTCATAATTTTTACTAAAATAAAGTTCATAATATCTTTTCTTTAGTTAAATAGGATAATGTTTTTAATAAATATTAAATAATTTAAATTTTTAATTTAATTAACAAAGTATTTTTAATGCGCTTTAACTATTTAATTTTGAGTAAATAATAATAACCTTAATTCCTCAAAACTATTGTTTGAATCATTACGAGAAATATTAATTTTTCATGTATTATTATAAAAAACTCCTCACCAATATATTATGAATGATTTAAAACCAATCCGAGGAAATACAGTGATAATAGTTCATTCATTTTATTTTTATTTTATAGGTTAAATAAGTAAGTAAATTTGAAAAAAAAGGGAACAAAAAATCATAAAAATTTAATTTATTTATTAATGGGTGATATAGTTAGAGGAGATTATTAGATAAGTTAAAAATTTGATTAAATTAAAAACAAGTTTGTTTGCCAATTAAATCTGAGATAAATTTAAAACAAAAACTAAATATATTTACAAATACAAATAAATTAGGATTGATATTTATAATAATCAAAGTAAAGATAAAAGAAGTAAACTAATGCTTATAAAAGTTAAACTAGAAGAGAAGGTGTATTATTAAACTTCTGCAGCTTTAGCCTCAATAAATCCACATTACTGATCAAAATCAGGTACAACTTATTAAGCAATTCTTCTCTTAAATTCTTCGTAGTCACAGTATTTAGATGTTTAATCACATATGGGCAAGTACTATCCATTCATGGAAAACATGACAAAATTTTGATGGGTATCAGGATCTTCTCTAAGCTCGTACATAAGATTAGTGGCATATGTAGTAGGTTGGTAGATACAGACTTCATCTTTTTATAATTAGTTAGTGTGATAACGTTCCATACACTCCCAACTAGTTAAATTCATACCAACTAATATCATAGAAGTAGTGGTGTCGTGAGCAGAGTGCATGTACCACTTGTAAGGAGCTGTGTTGTTCAACTTCTTTTCAAAGTAACCAATCAAAGAATTGAAGAATGGTGTAATAGATACTTGCTTTTATTGCTTTGTCTTTAATAATTCTAAATGGATTTCTAAGTAGAGTAACTATTCAATTTTTTCCCAGAAATCTTTATCCTTCATCTCAGTAGGAATATCTCTTCCTTAGAAATAATCACTAATGAGAGTATCCATATTTTATTGTAAGCTTGTTAAGTCAAAAGAGGCAAGCTAAGTTTCATCTTTTATCATAATTTTAGCAAACTTAGAGATAGTGTCACTTAACTCTTTGTTAATTCTTTTCCATTCATCACTCTATTTGTTTTAAGCAGTCCACTTTTAAGAGTTAGGACAACCATAACTCATACCCAAAAGAAGTTTATCTTAATTTTAACTAATTGTATGAATGGGAATAGGTTAATAGCCATTAGGAATTGCATTAGCATCATCAGTCATATCCTAACTAATACTTTAGTCAAAGAATTTGTAAGGTGCATCTAAAATTTGCTTTTTTTAATCTGCAGAATATCCTTAAACTTAAGTAGGGATTTTAGGACCAGTGCCGTATGGATATAAACCAGCTAATTGACTTTCAGCAGACATAAGTGTTCTTTTTAAAAATTATTTTAAATAAAATGAATTTTATAAATTAATTAAAATTTAGTAAATAAATAAATACCTAGTAACATCTGTTGATCTAACATACAACTCTTGAGGATTGTAGCTAGTTGATAAAAATGCTCTAGAAGAAGTAATATATTCGGCTCTTAACTTTCTACCAAGTTCAAATTGTTAACGTATACCAACAGGAGTGAGTTCACCATTCATTTTCTTTTATTCCGCTGCATCATAAGTCTTATCATAAATAGGATATCTAGCACCATGTCTGTAGATTTAAACAACAAGCTTAAGAGTACTTTTTTTCATGCGATCATATTCATCTACTGTACAATAAACTGCAGTGGTTATTGCAAGTAAGATAACAATAGTCTTTAACAAGTTAGACATATTTTAATAAATTGCTAAACTCTAAAATAATTTAATTAATTTATTTTTAAATAATTAATTATAAAAAATACATAGAGTTGGAAGGGGATATTTAAAACTAAGATGATCATTCATTCTTATGATAAATAGTAAGAAATAAAAATAGGTAGGCAGGTAGATAAATAGTAGAACCATTTTTTTTTAATGCTTAACTAACTAATTAATTTAAATATCTAAATACTTTCATATATAGTTTTAGAATAAGATCATACTAGATATTTAAGCTTAACATTAACTATAAATGGAATGTATCCCCCTTTACTTAACTTTATATTATTTCCACATGTTGTAAGGGATATAAATCATTATTTGTGATTATTTCACACTTATTTTTAATATTATGAAACAAATTTTATTTTAAATTTATCAAATAAATTATTCCAAAAAAAATGTTTTATGAATTATTTTAAGAATACGAATTCAATTTAATTTGTTATTATTTCTGAACTTTTGTATTAAAAATCTTTGATTTGTTTGTTACTTTGAGAAGCACAGTAATTTATTATTCATAATGATTTAATCGACAATTGTACTAGTTCTTTTCAGTAAGTGCTATTTTCTAAAAAGAGTAAATAAATAAAAATTCTTTAAATTAAATAAGTAAATTTCTCTCTTTTAATTTTTTTAGCTGTGTGCTTATATTAAAAAATATGTAATCCGTAAAAATATTGAAAAATTATTCTACTATCAGTTAAAAAATAATATGCAATACTACATATGTAGACCCTTACTAGGAAATACATTACGATTAAATATTATCCATTAATTAATAATTATGGTTAAGCTCTAAAAATTTCTGATTCTAATAAAAGTTTAAACATTTAAGAAATCAAATAATTATAATTACAAAAAGATATGATAAAAGGTTCTAGTATTAACATAGTCTTAATCTCACTATAAACAAAAGAAAACAAAGCATTTTGCTATAAAAAAATAATCTTAGAACTTTTAATTAAAAATCTATGTATTTTTTTATAAATTAATTATAATTATCTAATTTAAATTAAATATGTTAATTATTTTTCTTCAGCTTAATGAAAGATATAATAAAAACAAAAAACCAAACTGTTAAATACTTTTAATATTAAATAAATTTATATTATTTTATTTTTGAAAATTTGCAGTAAATTTTTGTTTAATTTTTTATATATTATTCTTTTTCTTAATTAAATAATCAATTAATATGCAGAAAATTATGTTAAGCATTCAAAACAAAAATAATAAAAATAATGAATAAAAAAATCATAAAAAGCAGATCAAAAAAATATCTTCTGTTTTTAAAATAAAAATTAATAATTAATTTTGCAATTTTGTCAATATTTTTTTATGAATTTTTAATTTTTAATTGACATAAACAGAGAGTTGTAGTATAAAGAAGTTATTAATTTAATTATTGAAACGAGCACTATAATAATATATAAAAATTTTAAAGAGAGTCATTGTATTTAATGATTTTTGATTTGGTTTCCATAATTATTGGATGGGTAATAAATAGTTAATCATAAAATTCATAATCCAAATTAAAAAGATAAAAAAGAATAAAATGATAAATAAAGTAAATAAAATTTAAAATTGCTTTTAAAGTAAATGATAATCAAATAAGTAATTAAATATGATTTAGATTTTTAATGGTTATAATATATAGAAAATTTTTGTAATTGATTATTATTTGTATATTTTAACAATAATATATTTGTAAATAAATTTGTACAAGATAATTAAATCATATGTATATTTATATAAATAGTTGATTTGATAATTTGGTAAGGAAAATTTTGGTTTATGAGTTTATAGTTAATTAATATATTCACTAAGAAATTGATTAATTAACAATAATATGTCTAAAATAATTAATTAATTATTTCTATCAATTAATTTCAAGTTATGGAAAATTGTTTTTGTTTTTTTCTTATTTATAATTTTTTATAAGTGGAAAATTAAATTAAATTCTTTTATTGAGTTTTCAAATGTAAGCAATTAATTTGAGCCTAGCTACAAATAATTTTAATCATAAATATTAACTTAGTCAAGCCTCATTTAGAAGTTCGATTGGAATTCTTTCTTTTTTTATCATGTTATTTAATTTAAAGATTTAAACATTTTTGTCAACACCCCCAAACAGGTCTAAAATGAAATTTTCTTCTAGATGTTCTTAATAGTTATGTTTATTAAATTAATTTGTTTTTTTTTAGTGTTTTACAGTATTATTTTCATAGTTTTATTATTCTATTTGATTATAATTGCTTGTAGCTTGAGTTTATTATAGTATTTAATCTTATTTATCGCTTATTGTTTTAGTTTTATCTTAGCAATTAGATATTTTAGTTGTTTTTTAAGGATTAAAATCATATACTTTTTATTAAGAATCAACTTAATTTATATTAATTGTTGGTTCAATTTAGATTTTTGTAGATTGTTTTATCAACTATTACTCTAAATTAAATATTTAAGAAATTTCTTATTATGGTACTCTTTCCTTAATATCTCTCCATTTAATATCTTAAAAGAATTCATGGCTTAATACTTCGTTACTTTTGATGCGGTTTTTTTAATTCTTATCCAAACATCTTTGAATTAGATTTTTTGCTGCTGGCGATATATTGGCCATTTTAGGAAATATAATTTCTTTTGAAGTAAGAATCTTTTATTAGATTTGGCTAGGGTTTTAATCATAAAAGGGAGTATATCCTAAAAGCATCTCAAATAGTAAAACTCCAAAACTCCACCAATCAGAAGAATATGTATTTGGTTGTTCATTTATTATTTCTGGAGCTGCGTAGCAATAGTTTATGTCATCAGAATTTCTTTCTTTGATATTGCAGGTAGAATTTCTGTAATTTTAGGCACTCTTGTTTTAAGCCACTTAAGAAAATGTATCATTACTGCTTTTTACATTTTCTGATTTAACAAAAAGTTTGCCTCCATTTTTAGGAGAGACTTAAAAAGGAGTAAATAGGAATTGAGAAAATTCAAATCTATTAAGTATGGTGTTGCCAGCTAGGTCAATTTTTATATCTTTTGAGTTCACTTAGTTGTAAATGATCTTTTTTTGATGAAGTATGTGCAAAGAATAAGCTATTTAAGCTGCTATTAATTTTGCTACATTTTCAGAGAGGAAAGATTACTCGTCAATCAGCTATGCGAGATCAATATATTTAATTGCATCTAGTTCCTCTTACAAGACAGCGAAATAGTTTCCTTGGTGGATGTAATAAAATTGCTGAGTGAAGTAATTAGAATCTAGTTCTTTAATTAGATATATTTATTCTTATACAAATTAATTTTACATGTCCTCACTCTCTTACTTAAATAAATTATGAATGTTAATCACTCTCATTTGATAAATTTTCTTTGTATTTTAGCATTCCCTGACTCTAAAATACCTCCATATACTGTTGTATCCAAGAACTTCGATCAATTCGAAATCACTGAAATTTCTTTAGATTCCTTTTTGAAATGAAGGAAGTTTTTAGATATAATTATCATTAGTATGTTAATAGTTATCTTTTTTAGGACTTGGGGTATTACTACCATTATTTTAGCGTTGGTTAGATGAAAATAGAGAGTATAGTAAAGAACTTCTAGGATTTTAAGAAAGCTAATTTTAAATTTAATTAGAAGTAAGTTAAGCATTTAAAATTGTAGTTCTACAAATGTTACTATGACAATCATCTATAATTATTGAATTAGTACAATAATTTTAAGTGTTTCTCACTTCAATTTCATTGATGATTTAAACTGTTGTTTTATCTATCTCATCGGATTAGATATTTTGGAAATACTCCATTTCTTTCTTAGTCTAAACTACTTCAGCCAAGTCTATTTAATCTGCATACATAATTTGCAAACCTTAAGAAAAAGAGCAGAGGATATCTATAATGCACTATTTTTAACTCTCACTATGAGCGCAATAGCGATAATCGTACTCGTCAGGAATATTTAAAATAAATTCACAGTTTTGTCTGTTTTAAATTATTTTTTTAATCTTTTATATATCTATCTTGCGTTTTAAGCTTAGGCCTTTCAAATTATAGACAAAATAATTAGTAATCATGAGTGATCTTTTCTGCTTTTTGTTCTTACGATTAAACTTTTCTATGTGATCAGAATAAGCAATTTACTCAAATGGATCAAGAATACTTTATAAATCTTCTTTTTGTTATAATTGGAGATGATCCATAGATGATTTACCTTTTTCAGACTCACAGTTAACATAAGTAGAATCCTGCCTATCTTTTTTGCGAGAAAATAGTTATCCTAGCTTTTTCATGAAGATTACTTAAGCTAATTTTTAATTTAATTAACGAGTTTATTGAAAGTATTAATTAAAAAATTTTATTATACTTTTATTGATCACAACAAACAAATATTCTCTATACCATTCTTTTTGCGATTACTTTTATATAAACTGAAAGCTATTTATTTGGTGAAATACTAAAAGCGAGTGAACCTCTATTTTTATTTTGTTTACACATATTTAATTATTTTCTATCAAAACTATGTAAAATTTGTGGTATAACTGTTCTTCTGACTATAAGTCAGTAAAAAGCATCAACAATTTTATTTGTATGTCTTTTTCATTTCTATGATAAATTTGAAAAAAAAATATAATTTTGAATGTTGCCTTAAATCTAAAATAAAAAATTTAATAAAATTTATTTTAAATGATTATTTTATTTCAAAAAAATAACAGTTTTTTCATTTCTTAATGTTTTAGAAGAAGAAAAAAAGTAAGAAACAATTGTAATTTAGCTCCAAGCAAATAATCAGCAAATTTAAATAAAAAATAATTGATATAGATAAAAACATATTTTAACCATAATTGGTTTCTAAAAATTAAATTTGGCTCATAAATTATTTCTGTTGAAGAGTACACAAATATAAATTTTTTCATTATAGCCAAAAAAAAAAATTATAGTTATCTCAATTTTTTAGCAACGTATCCACCGCTGGCTAATAATTCATAAATATTGCTTCAAGTAGTCTTAAGAATTTATTATACTATACATATGTTAGAACGATGATTATGATTTTGTGTAAATTTTAATTTTTTGCTAATGGATGTAAATATCTTAAAACCTCTATAACTTTCTTTCGAATAGTTAACTAAAAATGAAGATTTTTATATTTTTAGCAAAATCGACTTATTAAATCTAAAAAATTTTACATATTTATTTAGAAGTAAGTAAGTAAGAATTTTTCAGATTAGTTTTGTGGAAAAAAATGTTTTTACTAATAAATTGAAAAAATCTGATTATTTGATTCAGCTTTAAATTAAAATTTATTAATAAAAAACTATTGCAAAAATATATTATAAAAATTTACAAATAATATTTTGAACTGTAAGGAACTCTAAATTTTCACTCAATTATTTTTAATTACTTTTAAAATTAGATATAGAGAAATCTTAAAAGAAAAATTAATAAGTTCTAACTTTCTATATTATTAATAATTTATCTCTCCAAACTAAATTAAGTTTCTGCAAATTTAAAGGAAGCAACATATCCCAAATAATTATACAAACTAAAACTTTTATTTTTAAAAAAGATTTATATTATCTTATCTTGCTTACTTCTTGCGAAAAAAAAGCTTACTATATATCATAATAATTATTACTTTTTAGTATTTAAATACATATGTACTTGTCAAAATCAGACGAATATTATCTATCAAATAGAAAAATAAATATTGGTTAGTTAAATTTACTGCTTTTCATGAATTAAATATAACGTAAAAAAAAGTTATTAATAAATAAAAATATAAAATTAAAATAAATTAATTTATTAATTGTCATAACTTATTTTATTTGAGCCATTTATTTTCTTTTTTGAACTTTTTAAAGAAATTTTATATTCATACTCTAATTAATCATAAATTGAATAATAAAACCTTAACCATTTACTTAAAATCATAAATTATCAAAAGATTTTGAATTAATTATTATTAGTTTTAAAGTGAGTTGTGATAGTTTCCTTTTTGAATTTAAAGAAGTAAATTTATATTGCAATTAAAAAATAAATGAGTTATTTATTTAGTTTAATAATTTTTGTTTTGAAATTATTTTCATTTAATAAAAATAATTATTTAATGGCAAACAACTAAAAAATTAATGTCACATTATTTTTATTTTTTCTTTTTTATTAAAATTTTAAATACAATTAAAACAATTCTGGAAAATAAATTTTGAAATGTTTTAAAAATAAATTATTTGGTTATTCCTTTTCTTACATTTAAAAATATATCTATTTTTTATAATTTTTCAACTATCTTTGCTAAAATCTGAGCTAACATGAATTATAGTTTAGCAAGGGTTATTTAAAGATTATCATATAATTTTTAGAATTTCAATTTAAATACACTTCTGAAATTAACAGATATTAATTTGATCAAAAATTTTTGATAAATAAATAATCAAATAAAAAAAAATACAATTTTTTATACTGAGACCTCACTATGAGTTTTGCTGAAGAAAAGGAATTGAGAGAAGTGTTTTCAATTAAAAAAGAATAATTTAATGTAGAAATTAGAAAGAGGAAGAGAAATAATTAGCTTGAGAGAAGTAGACAAAGGATATTGAGTACTTCTGATAAAGTTGAATTCTTTAGTACAATATCTACACATTTTAAGCAATAATCATTGGAGCAGTAAGAAGATAGCATCATTTTAACTGAGTAAATTGAGAATGAAGAATACCAGTTAATTTAAAATAAATTTAATCAGCTTTAGGAATATTTTGAGACTAAAAAAAATAATATGGACATTCTTTTATTAGTAATTGATATTAAAAAAATGCTAAAATAGGGCAATAAATATATTTCGAAATGTTCAAATAAAAACGCAGCACAAGTTGTCAGTTTATTTAAATAATTTTGTTTTTCTAGTTAACAACTTCAGGATGCTAACTAAATATAGAATATTCTACTTAATTTAAGTCATATTTTATTTTAAATGTCAACCACTTAAGATCTTCCTTTCGCGATTATCGTAATTACATTCTATTTTTTTAAGTTTTAATTTTACTTAAGTCATTAAAGATTATTGAATTAATATTATTATATAGGATGAAGGATAGATTGAACTATTTGAAAGTTTACTTTCTCATTAAAATGTTTAGATAGTTTAGACAGGAACAAGTATTTTGTGTAATTGTGTTTATTCGTTTCCAGAACAAATAAAATATATTATTGAATCAAATTTGTTCTATTACTTTAGGATTATCTTATTAAACAAGTAATCTTCGTTTTAGATATAGTTCATTTTATTAAAGCTGATTGGATAGTACTTTATAGATGTATAAAATGAGTAAAGATAGAGAGATTGTATTTAACTTCTTTTTGAGTGGCTTCCAAGTGTCGAAAAGAATTAAAATGATGCAGAATTAATCTGCATTGTTTGTAATAATTTATGCGAGTATTCTATTTTAAGTTTATTTTTATAAGAAGCGGCATCAAATTCTTAATTTATAGCAAAACTATAAAAGTTGATTCGTTTTTATAAAAAGAAAAACAAAAATGTAATTTAGAGAGTCCTCGAAGTATTGAATGAAGTTCTTGAAAAGTAATTCAAAGCTGTAAGTATTTATCTCGAATCAGATTTGGTTAAAAATTTGGCTGTCCTTTGCAATTCAAGTGATAATTATACATCTGAAAAATCTTATTATATATTATCTAATTTAGTTGCTGATTCAGTAGACTACGCAATTTCTATTTCTTCTAACAAAAAAATATTAAAATCTTTGATAACTAATTTGCAAAGGTGCAACTTAGGAATAGCCCTCGAAATACTCTACCTAATCCGAAACATAATACTTAAAATTCAATTATTGGAAGATATTTACAGTTTCATTAACAACTGTTCATTATTTTAAGTGTTTAGATTAGCTTTTAACAACTTCTACCATGGCTTAGAAGTCCAAAGACCAATCATATGGAGCCTACTTTTATTGATCTAGTATTCTGAGCTGGATTTCGAAGAATAGCTTACATAATTTACTATAACACAAATATACAAAAATAATATTTTTGAAGTAGTATAAAACTGCATTACTTCATAAGATGAGCAGATTAGTTAGAGCTCTTCCTAAATAGTTGAAAAAATGCAATAATTTGAAAATAGGTATTTAAATTGATATCAAATTATATGAACAAAATATTATTTTCATTTATATATTTATAATTTAAAATAAAATAGAAAAATTTAAGAATTAAGTGTTTCGATTTCTAAATTTAATTTTTTTATTTTAAAAATTTAAAACATTTGTATAAAACTGATAATGAATTAAGAAAAGCAGCTAATTAGTAAATTTTGTTGATTTAATTAAATGAAAAAAGATTATGTAATGTAGTGTGTGTGTGTGTATATAAACAATCATTTTTTAAAAAATATAAAATCACTTTTATTAATTTTATTTTTGACAATTAATAAATTTATTTTCTTGCTATTTATAAATAAATAATATTAAAAAAAAAATATAAATAAATATGATAATTAATTAATTATAAAAAAATATGGAATAAATTCTCATCACCTTTATAAATGTTCACACAAAACCATTTTTTGGGGAAAACACCTCCAAAATGGGTCTAAAAAAGTATTTAAGGCTTTTAGTAAACAATTTTAAAGAACTATTGTAAAAAAACTTAAAAACCCAAAATCAATCTTAAGGAATTAGTTTATTTAATTAATTACCTGATTGCTTAAACATTAAAAAAAAATAAAATTAAAAAAATTATTTTATAATTTTTAACACTAAAATATGAACTAAGAGTTAAGTAAGGCAAACACTTCAAGACAAATAGAATTAAAAGATTTATTAGCATTTAAGAATACAAAAACATATTGATTTATTTAGGAGCTTATTCTTTATAATTTTGAAATTATAATTCAAAATATTAAAAATACAATTACTTCATTTTATAAAATATTTCACAATCTAAAAAAATAAAAAAGTGAATAAAAAAACAATTTAATTTAATGATTTATAACTTTATTTGTAAAATAATTTTTAATGTCTTAATTATGATTAGTGAAATAAAAAACTAATATAAAATAGAATACACTTAAATACTTTTGGTATTTATACTAATAATATTTTATTTTATAAATCAATAACCTTCATTACTCCAAGTGAAGTTTTCTTATGGAAAATGTTAAATATGTTTTTTAGATATTTCTAAAGCAATAGTATGGTCTGCTCTTCCAAAACTCTATGAGTATCCATAAATAAAAAGGCTCTTTTTCTCTTAGCTAATTTCAACTCTACCACCACCTACACAAATTAGTTGGAAAGGAATATTTTAAACTTTGCAAACAATATTGTCATCTTCCTCTTCATATTCAAATTAATCAAATTTAAGCCCACAGTTTCTTAAATCAAGAGCAAATTTTTCAAAATTTTCCATATGAAAACTATATTTTTTTTCTCCTCTAACAAAATAAAGAATTTCATCTTTAAACTTTAACTAAATAAGGATATATTTAAATCTTCCGTTTTCATCTAAGTGAAATTATGGGATATATTTAAATAGGTCTTCACCCTTAGAAAGTGTAGAATCCATTAGATCTATAGTTTTTTACAAAATATCTTAATTAAATTATTTAACAAAATTTTAATTTCAAAATTTGCTTTTTATTTTAATTTTTAAAATATATTTAATTAATAAATTGCTTAATATTACAAAAAATCAAGTAAATATGGAATTTTTTATTATCTAATTTGTTATTTCTGTTAATCTTTAATTGTTTTAATGTATATTTAATTTAATTAATTTCTTTTTTATTAATTATATTTATTTTATTTTTATTTATTTATTTTTAATTTTGTTTTATTTATAATTTTATTTAAGTTTCTTTTTATTTTTGCTGCTAATCTAAAAATTGAAGTCATTTTTTTATAAAAATTTGTTCTGTCTAGATTCATCAAGCTGAAGGATTAACCGCTCATTCTTCTGCTGTGTTTATTCTTTTATTTGCTATAATTGTTTTAAATAATACTAATTATATATTTAATAAACAATTTTTTTATAAAAAGAAAAGATTTTGTATATTTTTGAAAATGCCTCGTTTATCGCAGTGATAAGAATGTTTCTCTAAATTTTAAATATTTATGTCCTCTTTCTTAGTATATGTTAAAATAATTATCGGGCATCGTTGCATGAAATAGGTTTTTTTTATTGTTTTTAAAAACTTAAGAAGACTTATTATTTAAAATTTGATTTTTCTTTTTTTTCTTTTTGCTTTTTTATCTAAATAATTTATTTTTTTTTAAATAATTGTAAATTTAAAAATTTTTTTAGAAAGATATTGATTATGAAGTTGTCGAAAATTAAAAAAAATTATCAATTTCAAAATTAATAAAATAAAACATTAGGAAAATAAGATAAATTTAAATGGATTTATTTATTGCATGAAAACAGAATAAAAAGGGAAAAACACCAATTACAAATAATATTTAATTCATAATGTAAAATTGATGAATTTTATATATCATTCATTATTAGGTGTGATATTATAATGAATTGTAATCAATATAATATTCCAATATAATTACATATATTTGACTAATTTTTAATAGAATAGATTCATAGATAGATGTGGATAGATATATGCCTTAATTGATATCTTTTTATTCTTATTTTCAATTTTAGAAGTGCATTATAGGTCACTCATGTAGTAAGATAGTTAGTTAGTTCTAATTATATCTACTATTTTATTTATTTGTATTATGTGATAATTATTTTTTTTATTTGATTATTTGTTTGGTATATTAATTTAACTTTTAAAAGTTTAATTGATTGATATTCATTTTAAATTTCACTAGCAGTCAATAAATTATTTTAAGAATGTTGCAATAGATAATTGATACAAAGATTAGAATTAAGATGGTAATTATTAATAATAGATTATTTTAAATTTCATAAAATATAAAATTATATTAAGCAATTTAGGTAAGCATTCTCACTTAAATGTTCCTTTTATTAGATTGTTTATTTTGAAGCCCAATTTTTTCTCGTTTTATTAAAGTTAATGTGATAGAGATTCTATTTAAGTTAGCTTGAAATGAATATGAAATTTGATTGTTAATTTTATTTCCTCCAATAGCTTCAGAATTAACAGCAAAGTTAAAATATTGTTTTATATTTTAGCAATTAAGAACGGTCTTTTTAATTAAAAAGGTTATTCAAATTTACTTATTCTTTTAATTCACTTCAGCTTTAAACCAATTAATTTTGAGTTTTATTTAGAGATATATTTGATGTTAGCTTTAATTTTACAAATATGATAGAACAGTCAGTGACACAGAAAGTGTGTTTTAATTATTTATTGCTTTCATATGTTAATTTTTTGAGTTTTATAAGATGCATATTAAAATAGATAAAGGATAAATGAATGGTTCTGACAAAGTGAGCAATTATTTTTTAGTGTGAATTGATTAGGCAAGAAATTAAAAGGGTTTTGATTGATTTTTATTTAAGTTTTTTATTATTCTTATTGTTTTTTTGTTTGTTTGTTTGTTGTTATATAAATCTCAACTAAATTTAAAGTATTAAGTAGATTGTATGGTATGGTTAGTTAGTTAGTATAATATTTTTAAACTATGAAACAATTTTAAAATCAAATTTTTAGGTTTTTATTATAGTTTTAAAGCTCGAGATTGATATTATTTATATATTAGTACTGATAGTTTCTTCATTTATTACTAGAAGTTTAATTCGACTCACTTTGTTTATCATGATTGCTTGTTTTGTTGTCCTTGTCTTTGTTTGGATTTTTTTTGTAATATTCATTTTTATTAGCTCCTCCACTATTGATTTCCTAAATTTTATAAATATATTTATTGGTTTTTAGTTAATGATATATATAATATTTAAATTATGTTACTACCTCCATAAAGCCAGGTGGTAGATTGAGACTCATTTCAGGTATTTCCTCTCCATTAATTTTAGCAGCAAATATTTACCTCTTTTATTAAATTAATTAATTTTTTAAATAAAAATTTTTAAATGAAAATAAATTTTACAGCAAGTCTTTCTCTTTCTGTCTTATTACCACCATTGTGCTTGATTTTAATATGTAGATTCAAAGATACCTCACTTCCATAAGTTTTAGTGCAGTTATCATAAGGACACTGTTTTTATAAAATTAAAAATTAATTATATATAAGATGAGGAAAGCAAGAAATGTGTTTAATTAATTTAAGTAACAAATTTATTATTTTATCTTTCATATGATTATATTGGGCAACCACTTTTAATACTTTTAATTATAAGAAAATAGAAGGAAAAAATAAAATCCTCTCTCTATTCTTTAATTACGAAGAATATTGAAAGAAAAATATAAATATTATATCAGATTATTATAATGTTTCAGAAATTTTCTAATTAATTCTTTGTAGTGTGATTGCAAATAGTAGTAGATTCTTTACAAAATATTTATTAATTTCATTAGGATGTTTATATAATGATGTTTCGTAATATTTAACGCAGAAAATGTTCAAATACTATTCTAAACTATTTATGAATGATCATTTTCAATTATTTTTAAAGTTTTAAATTTATTTTTGAGGAACTTAATCTTGGTTTAAAAAATAACTTGATAATTAATATAGTTTATCTCTTGGCTATGATTCAAAAGTTAATTAATTTAAAAGCTTACTTAAAAGTCTTTTTAAATATCTGAGGCACATCTACGATTTTTTTTCTTAGTTTTTTGTACTGTATTAGTTTAAGATTTAGAGTCCTAATCTTGAGAAATGCCATCATCCAAATGGGTGATCATTTGCTAAATATATTTGATAATTAAAAAATTAAATATTTAAAATGAGATAACAAAAAATGCTTTCAAATATGATCTATCTATTTGAAATTGAACTTTTGTCATTTATTTATTTATTCTTTTATTAAAAATGCTTGGCTGCGATAATTTTTTTTTAAGCGGAATAATTTATTTTAAAAGTTATTATATAATGGACTAATCTCGCGTAATTAATCTTAAAAAAAAATAATTCAAAACCAGCTCTATGAAAAGTTTTAGAGATATAAAGTAGAACCTAACTAAAAATTGCTTTTTGATGATTTATTTTTACTTGCCTAAAAAAATAGTTTTTATTTATTAGAAAATGTTTGGGGTTTTACCACCGTCTTTGCAATATTTTAAATTTAAAGAAATTAAAACTAAATTCTATTTAATGATTGATAAACAAGCCTATAGTATTATTTTAAACTTTCCTCCTACATACCTAAATAACTTCCTACTTCTACAAAAATTAGAAAAATAAAACATTTGAAATGAAAACCGCTTGAATGACTATGAATTTATAAAATTCTTGTGTAAATAAATCTCTAAAAATTGAAAGTCTGCGTTTGCTACAAATATTTTTTAGAATGCTCAATTTGGAGAAATTTTAGAAATGTATAAAAAACTCTATATGTTTATTTATTAATTTAAAAATATTATTTTTTGCACTTCATAAAAAATTTATCTTATCAGTCAAGCTATTAGTATTGCTAGTCGGTATCCAATTATTAATAAATACATGGGATAACTATTTAATTTTAAATAATCGGAGTTGAATATTGGTAGCTTGTTTACTTGCTTGCTTGCTGGCTTTATATTAGCTTCTAGCTAGCTTGCTAAATTGAATGAGAATAGATAGCATTATACAATATATTTTGAAAGCATTTGAATTAAAATGTTATAAGTGGAAATCAATATTAAATTACTTCTAATCGGTCTGCCTTATCCCTTATTTGCTAAATTTCCTTTTTATATTCGTTTAATTTTGAGATGATGACTTCGTTTGTGTAATACATTTTCCAAAACTCTTAATAGTAATTTGTATTCTTATTATAATCAGGCAGTTTTCCTATTTTTTATTTGATATAAAAAATTTTATTTAACCATATTTAATGTTGTTTATCTCAGTTGAATGCGAGTAAAACTTTTTTATTGCTTTTCATTTTATTCTCTCATAAATGTTCTTCAATTAATCTCTCCTTTTTCTCTTTTGAAGATATAAACTGTGAAGAAAAATTAATTTGTATAAATTATACAAGACAAATGATGGAGAGGTATGAATGCTTCTATATGCATAAATCGTAATTCTTTTAAATGTTAATTTACCTAACTAATTTATCTAATTTGGTTATCCGTTTAAATGTGGCGCGATATTCAATGCAGTTTAATAGGTTGAAGTAGAAGAGGATTATGAAGCATTTTGCTACTAATTAGGGAACCCGTAAAAGTGGTCCTTTAAAATACTCTTCTCAAAGGGGCCCATTATCATCTAATTTGTGCTATTTATATTTTCCTTATGCTATTACTAAAAAGATAATTTATTAATTTTTTTTTTTACATGATTAAATATAAAGTGTTCTCAAATAAATGATAATTGCATTTACTACTCTCAAATCAGAACTACTCGCACTAGTATTTTATGGTTTAGAAATAGCTCCTCCGCCTCCGCTGTTTGGTTTTTGGTTAACTAATATAATATTATCCTTTGTTTTTTTCTTCTTATCTATCACATCTGCATTGGGACTAGGGCTATTTGTCATTTAGCTTTTGTGCAACTCACTTTCGCTATTCATCTCGATGAAATTGTTCTATATGAGTGAGTAGTGAGTATTTATTATTTTTATTACTTCTGTGTGTGAGTGTTTTTTTTTTGTTTACTTTCCTCTTTTTTATTAATATTTTTTTTCTTTTTTGCTTTGTTTTTTGCTTTTTATTTTACTTTGTTATTCTTTTCCTTTACTTTTATTATTTACTTATATATAAATTTTGTTGGAATTTCTTTATCTTTTATTATTTATTCACTTTGCTATTTATTTTTATTGTGATAAATTTTTATTTTATTTTGCAATAATATAAATTTCTCTTTCCTGTCATTCAACCAATAAATCAAAAAAAAAAAAAACCAACTGCATTCAAACAAACAAGCAAGCAAGCTAACAAAAATTAAATAAAATATGTTTTTTTTATTTGTATTAATCTAAAACCCTTTCATTTAATATTAAAAAAATAAGAGAAATTCACAGTTGCTTTAAAGACATAATTTAAAAAAGATGTTTTCGATTTGATTTGATATATTTCGTTGATATCTAAGAGCTTTCAAAAATAGTTATAAACTAAAGAGTTATATGTATTCTTAAATTTAACTAATATATAAACGATTAACATAGATATATATATCATTTTAAAATAGTTGAATGAATCAAATAAAATAAACAGATGATAAAAGTTGAAAAAGATAAAATTTAAATTGAAATTTGTTTTTGTTAAATTAGTTAGAATATGGAAATAAGGATATATTAGGTGGCTCAAAGATATTTATTTTAAAATTTTTTCTTCTTTGTATATGATTTATTTTATAATAATTAACAATCATTATCATCATTTTAGATATTTTTTAATCTGATAAAATACTACATAGATAAATTATTAATTCTTTTGAAAATTTTATTTTTTTTATTTATTTACATATATATATCTTTCTACCTTAAAATAGTCTAAGTAAAATGACTATACTACAACAAATGTTTACATACAGATACTATAATTATTAATATTTAAGAAACTATCTAATTTGTCTCATATGATTCTGCTCTTTATTATACTTTTTGCCAGTATGTACGATAACTGTCAAAAGATTTTTATATCAATCCTAAATTACTAATAGACAAAAATTATTTTTAAAATATAAAAAATCCAAACCAAAATAATATAAAATCTTTAATTATAAATTTAATTTAAACTTCAAAACTTTTTTTAGGATATAATTACGCTTTTAATTTTCTTTAGCATATTAAAAGTTTATTATGACTCAATCTAATAATACTTTATTGTTAATATTTTGTTGGATTATATAAAATTTAGTTTTAATCTTGGTTTAGTTACTCAAAATTTAAGTTATATCAAACTGTTTATTGTAATTATTTTATTTTTATGTTTATATTTTTACAAAAAGGAAACTTAATTTATTTGATCAAATAAAAGATAGCTAGCAAGTTATGTATAATTTATTTTAGAATAATACCAAAAAACCTAGAAATGTATTTGAGTTTTATTTTATCTTTTTACCTTTTGCAAACTTAATACTTTTTTCAAATTTTTTATTTTTGCCAGGAAATTATAGAGGAGAGAGAGTGAGGTGATTAATAAATAAATAAAGAAAAAGATAAATTAATATTTGTGAAACTTTTTTTTCTTAAAAAATGTAACTATCTAATTTCATTAAATATTTATTTTGTTATTATCTGTTTCATTATTAATTTAACTCTTCTCTTCAAGATTATCATTAATTTTATTCAATTTATCTTATTCGATAATTTTAGATTATTATTCTTAATTCTAAACTACTTATTAATCATTTTCTTCATTTTAATCTTGATTTATTTTCAATTTTTTTTCTATCTTTTATTTATATTTTTAGATCATCTTCTGAAACTCATCTTTTGATAATGCTTGAACATCTTCTTCTTACTTACTATTTTCTTCTTTATTAATATTATTGAGACTAATATTGCTAGAATTACATTTTTTTTGCATTACTAAAGTTTTTATTTAGGGTTAGGGTATAGAATATTTGTTATTTGTGAATGAAGAGAGTAATTTAAATTTTTATATTTTTAACGTTGTATTAGGCAATTAATAACGACTTTGCGGCAAAGTATTGTTGTCATAGATTTTAATAAAATCCTACGTATTTTTTTAACCTGACAAATTTTTGTGATGACTTGAATTATTTAGATTTAGGTAGCTTTGATTTATTTATAGCTACTATGAAGAATCTATTTATTATTATAATGAGGAATCATTTTGCTACTGAAATGAATTAACAGCATGAGATTTAGGAGAGTTCTCTATTGAATTATTAATTCTATGAGTTAAATTTCTAGGCTATGAAGTAGAATTAATTTATTTTCTATAAAGAGGATTAATCTTTAAATTAAATTAATCTTATTCTCTAATCTTATAGGAACCTATTTAATGAGAACTTTAGTTTCTGTTTCGAAAAGAGACAGAAATATATTTTGAGTTGGGTTATTTTTAATCTGAAGATTAAGTTGAATCTTTGCTGTAACTATTTGGATTGATTTAATTTAGTTTTTATTTTGTGCTAATCTTAATAATAGATTGTACTTTTTTTTACTTGTGCTCTTTGCTAAGGCTTTCATTTAATTTATGGAGTTTTTCTTCATAGCTTTAGTTAGTAATTTTTTCTGATTATTATTCTTTTATTTAAGCAAGCTTTTCGCAACTGCTTTTATGACTTCTATTACTTAATGGGTTTTATTCTCTTTGCTCTTGGATATTTGGAATTTCAGGAAGTTTTTAAAAATTGTGCAAGGATTATTACTTTTTTCGTTTCTTTTAAAGTAGTTCTACCTTTATATAATTAAATAAATGAAATAAATAATATTTTATTATATTTAATTTCTATATACATTATCTTGAAATTCATTTAAATTCCTCCTTTGTTATTATTGTTGATGCTCAAATAAAATCAAATGGTTTCCATCTTACTAATATTTACAGATCTTTATATTTATTTTAATATATTTTGTAAAAAAATAATATTAAAACATAAATTTTGTTTTTATAAAGCAAAAATAATTTTACTATTCCAGCTCTTTTTAAATCTGTTAAAGTCGAATTTTTAGACAGAAAATTAACCATATATTTGTCGTAAAGCGAATTATAATCTTTTGGCAGCTTAAGTTTGTTTGTGCAATCTAGCACAAAGGATTTCTCTCTTTTTACGAAATATTATTCCTAATCCTTAAAATTATTTATTCTGATTTTTGATAAATTACTATTGCCTCTTTCCTTTAATCCTTATGCTATAAAAAAATGAGGGGATGCACAAAAATCTTCATTAGCTTGTGAGTTAAATTTCATCATAAATATTTTGTGACTAATAAATAATTCTACTTTATCGGCTTTGATTACAATTTATAATACCAACTTTTTTGATAAATTAAGTTGATAATTCTTAGTGAATAATATTACTTTAAAAATTTAAAATTAATGCAAATAAACTTAGTTATATTCAGTACTCTTATTTTTTATTAAATGAACATAAATAATTTATTAGCCCAACAATCTTTCTAATAAAATATATGCCCATTTTCTAATTTAATTTACTGAAAAAATTTCAATATTATTTAAAAGTTTCATTAAGGCTAATTACTGAATTATCTTTTCAAAAAATAAAGAAAAAAATTGATAAATTTAAACAATTTTTTCATCAACAAATAAATATTTGTTACTCTGTTTTTAACAGCTTTATTTAAAATCTATTGATTTTATTTTTTAAAAATGTCAAAAAACTTAAATTAATAATTATTTTTATTTATAAAGTTACAATACTGATTCTACTAACTTCAAAATAATTAAATAATTATATACTATTAATTATTTAAATATTGCTTTTTCAAATAATATGGGAAAACTTATAGACTAATTTTAGAAATTCATTAGTAGTATCTATCAATCAATCAATCTATCTATTTATTTATTATCTTTAAAAATTAATTATCAGTATTGAGTATCTAAATATTTTTATAAATAAAAAGTGTTCTACTAATTAAAATTGTTTAGAATTTAAATTAAAAAAGGGATGAGGTTCATAATAAAAAAATATACACTTGTCGCATCGATATTGCTTTTGAAAATTTTCACTACTATTAATGCCTTTAAAAATTGCTAGATAACTTAGCTTCAGGTAAATTAGAGCTTGCTATAGTCTCTGGTTGCAAATAATTTAACTATTAGTGACTAGCCTTTTACCTATCGTCAATCATATATTTTTTAGGTAGCTGTAGAGAATGTTAATTATGAAAATATTTAGAAGAAAAATCCAGAAACTGATAGACTAAAAAGACCAGATCCTAACAAAAAAGCTAAATATCAATTAATAGAATTTGAGAAAGTTAAAGATTTTTATGAGAAAAAAAATGTTTTTCATTTTGAAGATAAAAAAATTATAGATATTGTTGATATAGAATAGTATTTAGTAGTAGCGCTAATTCAAGGAAGTTTGAGATTAATCAATATAAATAATTCTACTCTCTTAGAAGACTAATTTGAAACCAAAGTAAAGGACGTACAGGGAATCATGAATTTCAGTAAATAAACTTATTTCTATGTTTTTTTATTTAAATTTTTTTAATTTTAAAAAGAATTTAGAAATTAATAATATTTTGGAGTTTATGGAAGATCTCTATCAGTGATGATGCTCAAAAATGGATAATTGAGCAACTTATATAATGAAACGACGCAGTACGAAAACCCTATAAAGAATCTTATTCATTCAGATGGAAAGATATATTATTTTACATCAAAACAAATAGTAATAGTCAATCTTTTAAGTTAAGAAATAGAAAAAAATATTAAATTCAGTGATTACTAACAAGGATATTTATTTTGGGTGTTTTAAAATAATTTGTTGATAATTCCAGATAATTAAGGTAATTCTACATCGACTTATATGCTCTATGATTAGAACTCTCCTACTAAACCTCAAACTTAACTCAAGCTAAGAAATGAGATATCAAGCATTAAATTTGCAATATAATAGTATCAAGGTTAAATACTTATTAAAAACTAATAGAATTAAATAAAGGCAATAGAATTTGATGAAAACAATATTTAAGTTAGAGATTTACCAGATGAAGCTATTAATATTGGCATAGATTACATTTAAACATATCCTCCGAAATAAATCCTCTCACTATCCCAAAGTGAAAATGGTTACAATTAATATTTATGCTTTTAATGTGAATCTGATAAATTTCTCAAAGTGAATAATATTTCTCCTCCTATTTGCTAATGTAAATAAATTATTTCTATAAATTAATGTTATAAAAACCTTTTAAAATATTAAAGAATGTGGTAACAAGTGTTTAGAATGCAAAGATGAGTAGAAATGCACCTTATGCTACTAGAGCTATTCGCCTCTGAATGGAATCTGCCAGTGTGCTAGTAAATTTGTAGAAAATGTAGAAAAAGGAATTTGTGAAAGTAATTTATTTAAACAAATAAAAAAATAGTAATAAGATGATAATAATAATAAAATAAATAGGATATGAAGAAATGGATCCTGCTATAAAAATAATTATAATATCAATAGTTTGTGTTGTTATTGGAATGATAATCATCATTAAAGTTTTGTAAATCAGAGAGAGAAAGAGAATAGAGCAGAAACAAAAGTTATTTAAAAGCACTTTTAAAGACAACCAAGAAGATGATGAGATTTTTAATAACGATGAAGATGGTGAGGAAGATGGAAATGAAGAAGATGAAGATTAGGATGAAGAAAAATTAAGATAAAACAATGTTACAGCTCTTTTTGATAAAAAAAATCTTAATAAATCATTAAATTCAAGTGATATAAACATCAATAATATATCTATGTCAAAGAAAGCCTAAAAAGCCTCCCAAAATAAATCTTTTGTCAAGCCTAAAAGCTAAGGCAAAGCAGTTTAGCTTGAAGATTTAGAAGAATAAGTTAAAGATAGAATTAATACTGTAAATGAAGGAGATAATGAAGATGATGATGAAGAAGAGGAATAAAAGTAATAAAATGAATTAGATGATCATGATGAATATGAAGAGCATGAAGACGAAGAGCATGAAGATGAAGAATAAGAAGATAATGAAGATAATTAAAGTGATAATTGAAATTATTTTCATTTCTTAATTATTAATTAAATAAATACTTTCAAAGAAATATAGATAAATAAATAAATTAATTAATTTTATTCTTTGCTTTATTAAAAAATGTTTGTAGTTATCAAATAATTAGTTAAAAATCTTTATTCTAATAAATATTTTTTTAT